CTCAACTAGTTTGCTGTGGTTGGCAAAATATTTCATAACCCTTCCCTTGTAGTATCACAGTATCATTATTATGTGTTTTTCCTCTCACCCTGAGAGTTCTCCCGCTTTTATTTATCGCCCTTCTCTTTTCTTGACAAAAATTAAGTTTTTTTTTTACAATTGTCCTAAGAGAGTTTTGGGGACAAGCTTTTCCTAGGGCCTTTCGTTCGTGTTTTGCAAATGTCTTGCAGCATGTGACCCTCCTGAATGAGTGCAACTGTGTAATCTGTTGACAGAGAACTTGTACACATTGTACATGTACAGTCCTTGTGAATAATGGAATACATGTACTGTGCATGTAGGACGGGATACCGTAGTTTGATAGATTTTTCTTTCTTGTTCGGGAGTCTTGCTCATTTGTAGTGTGTTTGGGCTGCCATTAGTCATGAACAGTCTGTACATGTTCATGTATGTCTATTGATTCTGCCTCGAAGGTATAATCAATGGTAACACATGTAGAAGAAAGACTAATTTGACAGAATCCAGCCTTGTATGCCTTTTCTGTACATGTCTATGAACATGCAGATGTACCATGTGTTGGCTTTAATATGTTTGTAAGATGCACATGCATGTCTTGACATAAAGCCTATCATAGTATCAAAGGGTGTATATGTACATGTACATGTACATGTACATGTACTTCTCAACCTCCATTTTCTAGAGAGCCTGTAAGCAAAGTAGTGCACATGTACATGTACATGTACATGTACATGCACATGTAACGGTACATGTGCATTTATGTGTATCACGAAGATGTACATATTTTATGTACAAATATGCAGTTCTACACATGCATGCATGGATAATGCATACATGTAAACCTGACTGTGATTATGACTTACCAGTACATACCGGTATTTATATTGAAGATATAATTTAAAAAAATCGTAAAAAGATGGTTTCAGGAAAGTTTTTGCAGATATTTATGTACATTATGCGCGGTGCTTTAGCATGGGCAGTGTCTATATCATATTCTAATCAAGTAATATTTACATACCGAAATTCTGTCCCTTGTTAGAGCACGTACATACAATGTGCACTTTAGCCTAAGGGGTACATGACTTCACAGTTCAAACAGGAACGTTGAGCTGCAGACCTGTGGAAGCTAATTCCATTCATGTAAGTGTAATCAGGCAGTGGATGTTACTGGCAGACTGAGATGTGCTGTGGACTGAGGCAGCCTGGGCTAGCCTAAATCGATTAGGTCTTCATGTGTAGGGCAGAGATGTGACTGCACTGTGTTCAAACTGTGATTTGGGCTTCCCACAGTACTGCAAAGAAGTGTATAATAAATGTAAATGGCTAATTGTATTGCATGGACTTATTGTCTTGTGAAGTCCATTCTTAAAGGGAAAATACAACATTTGCAAACATCAAAAAATAAAACTACCAAATCATTTTGACATATCTTGCTGGACTGTTAGTGAATGACAGTGTTAAGCATCCTGTAAAATCATGGCACCTGGTATACTGTCATTTTCAAGAAAAGTGGTATTTTTGTATCAATTTCCAACGCTGATCGGCCGACCAGCGTTGGAAAAAACTGGCTTTTTTTCAAATACTGGCCCCAGTTGACCATCGCACTTGTTTGCAATCGATTACCCACCTATGAACGGGTACAAGCCAGCTAGACTGGTTCCCTGACCTTACAATTCCCCAATATATGTAAACTGCTCTGTTTCTTCTTAAATGGAGTCAGGGAACCAGACTACAGGAAAATGAATGTTTTTCTTGGTTTTTATAGCATTTTCGAACCCAAAACCTCCAAAAAGTCAGTGTAACTATATTTGCTATATATTTCCAACCCCCCAATTCCATCCATTTCTGAAAATTACAGCAAAAGCAAATGATGTATATTCCCTTTAAAGCCAGAGTCCATCATTTGCAGCTATCCAAAAAGTAACTGGAGTAATTATTGTTGAAAAACATACTTGGTTGAAAGATAGTAAGGGGACTAAACTCCCTGTGAAATTACTCTCTCTGGCATGCTGTCATTTTGAAGAAATCAACAAAAGAAGGCCTTTCCAACGAAGCATCGTAGGAAATTCAAATTAGTAGTTCGTTTTGTTATTCAGCGAAGCACACGCAAGCATTGGCACAACGCACGCGCGCGCGCAGTTGCTATAATTCGTCGGATCAGTGCGCGACATTGCGTAGAGTGCAATCGGCTCAGTGTGAACGTGTCTCGGACGCTGGATTCAGACCCAATTCAAAACATGATTCAGCAACTTTTGATTTGAAACCGAGATCCAAGAATGTTGTTTTTCTCGAAATATACAGCTAAAGCTGAGCTGAAACTTCATCAGGTTAGTTGTCAGCACCATTCTTTAGATCTTGAGCACTTTTGTTGCTTCAAACGCACAAAATGCACAAATTACAAATGATGGATTATACCTTTAAGTTATCTACATGTAAATGTAGTGTGATTTGTTTCTGTAGTGTAATTTGGCAAACAGAATTAGACGCCATTTTTGAGGTGTAACCACGCCCGCACGCATAAGACAAAGTGTGCATGCGCTTTGGTTACCATATTGGCCGAAGGAACCTTGAGTGCGTGCATACTACCTGAGCTCGACTCACGCAAGCCTGGTGCCACCTCAAAAAATGACTGTCGCCCACCCAGACCCATACATGGGGTGGGTTTCCAGACCCTGTCTGATTCCATGGGCTTTCCTGGGAAATGTTTGCAAGGGTTTTCGGCTCTGCTAAAACAAATAAAATGTCTTGATTTTTGTCACTCATTTTCCCCCGAAGGCTTTGAGCTACTGTGCCGTTGTACTTTTGAGGGACCCTTGGTTGTATTATCAAAATGACTTAAAATTGAAAGAAGAATATTAAGAAAAGCTTGTTGAATCCAACTGTCTTCATCATGGAACAAACAAAGTGTTTTCATACAGGAATGAGAACTGAAGATAAATGTACAAAAAAGCCTGAAGGTCCTGAAGGGGAGGGGGGGGGGGTCTTTAAAGAGCAAAAAGGATTCAAAGTTTTAGAGACTGCACAGCCATGCCCGGTCACGTCTGTGTTACATTCTGCAAACATTCTACAATGTGATCCATAAATTTATTGACGATGAATAGAGACATGATTTTGCTGTAATATTGAGGAGAAATCATGAAGTTCTTTTTTTTTACTTGGGGGGAAAAAGAGCTGGCTTGTTTTCCAGCTGGGTTCAAGGTATGCCATTACCATGATGAATGATGTTGATCCTTGATCGATAGGCTTTCTAATGTTACCAAACCTGATCAGTGCCGGTCTGTTTATGTATGCATGCTTGCGCTTGCGTGTGACATGACTAAGGATGATATGGAACATGGACCTCACTACATGTACAGGGATGATTATTTTCATTGCCTTAACCCCAACCCCTTAGGCCCTGTTGACGAGGAACCATCCTCAATCCTGCAAAATCCTCCAATTGCCACCATGTAAAAATTGGATTCAGCCTCAATCCTCCAAAATCATCCCTTTTTTTCTTGAATTTGTTCAGTGGAGGGGTGACAATTGCTTCAATCCTTCAAAATTCTCCAACAATCACTGTTAATGGGTTGAGGCAGTGCCGATGACATTCAGAATAGTGCGGATAATATTGAGCATAATGCAGGGCTCAATTATGCATTGCTGAACATAAAGAATGCTGGGTACAGCCTACAAAGTCGACGCAATTAATGCATCCTCCAAAATCAACCGACACGTTTTTGTCATTCAGCCTCAATCCTCCGAAATCCTCCAAAACCGCCTGGAGGATTTTGGAGGATTGAGGGGGGTTAGGGTACCGTTAAGGCCTAAAAAAACAAGGCCTAAAAAAATGTAGATGTTGTAACCCTGTCATACTTGGATTTTTGTAAGGCCAAATTGCCGACCTCCAAATTTTCATTGCCACATTTGGCAAAAAAATAAATAAATAAATTGTATATTTTGAAAATGAAAAAAAGTCTTAACCTACCGGTATGCAACGTTTTTGTGTGTTATCGGTTAACTGAACAAAAGCTTATTTAATTTGAAGGTATCCTAAGGTTTAGTATGGAAGACCAACGAAAAACAACAAAAACGCTTGCAATATAAAATTATTTTTCTACCTACATTTACCTACCTGGATAATTTTTAGGGCGTTAGCGTAAACACTCTTTATTTTTCTCGGCCTTGCCCTAATTACCTGGTCTTCATGACGTCGCTAGGACTAAGGGACATTATGCAGTAAACGTGACATTTATGGATGTACACGAACAAACATGTATGTATGTACATGTTCGTGAGGATGTGAGGCATCCAGTTTTGGCCTCAGAAATATTGGTTTGTGCAGATGAGAGCTGTCATGGTTTTCTAAGGGGACAAGTATGCATATGAGGGGCCACTTGAGCATGCAAATCCAATAATGACCTAAACTTTACATCCTTACATACATGTAGAAATGTGACTCATTTTAGGGAAATAGCTCATTTCTACTACTGTACAATGCAATTGGGGAGTTTTGTTATGTTGAAGAAATCAGTATTATAATGTTCAACACTTGATGATGCTACCTTATAAAGCATTTGCAAACCAAAAGAAACAAATTCAAAAGTGTCATTTAAAAGTCCTTTGATTTTTAGCTCAGTGCAGTTACATGTATAATTTTTGAACTTTTACGGATCTGAAATGTCGGGTATGTTATCGTCAGATATCATTTGACATTTTGATTATCCCTGCATAATGTAAATTGCCCAGGCATTTAAAAAGGAAAATTGGGGAGGGGGGGTGGTAGTACAATAAAAAATAGAATAGTGTAAATAACTGTCGCATATTGCTATCATTTTTCACACTGTGTAAGAGAACGTTTGCTTTGAAATTAAATTCGGTATTAATATTCACTAACAATAACATGAGCCGTTTGTAATTCTTTACCAACTGTGAGGAAAAAAGCTGAAATTTTCTCCAAAACATTTATCAAACTTTGTCTCTTGTTTTTCTGTCTTCAACAGGTGTACAGAGAAGTAAGAATCATGAAGCTAGTAGATCATCCTAATATAGGTGAGAACTTACATGTAGAAAAGTCCAAATTCAGTTTCAACATTTTGGTTTGTTGACTTGGTTCAAACGCTATGAAATCATTAGGTAAGTTTTTCTGGAAAGAATGTTGCATCCTGATGCCAATTTTTTTTTTTTTTAATCATATATCATCTCAGTGGAGGTCAGTCATTGCAGAAATGTTGAAAAGACATGAATCTGGGACTGAGAAACATTTTCATTTTTGTTAGAAAATACTTTGAAAATGCACTCGACTCTCCATAGACTTTGTTCACAACCAAAGGAGTGGCATCAGGATACTGCATTCTCTCCCTTATTCTTTCATTTCCCGGTTCAGACTTTGTGAATGTAGCTCTTCGTGCCAATTATGTTGATATATCTCAATCATGCTGTCAAAACTGAAAGAAAGTGAGTTTTGGATGTGGCCCATGCCCCCAATCAACCAGTCCACCTGTCTCACGTTATTCATGGCTCAAAGTGACGCTTGAACCATCACATCACACGTTTATGACTCCCTGCTTCAGCGCGGAGACATAAATATCCACCAACCATATTTTGACTCACACAATTGAGCATATCACATGACACATCGTATCATGTGACAGATCGTACCGCCACAACATCTGTGGCATCGTGTGGATCGGTTCCCCGTTAAGATTTAGAGCGTAAGCGGGTCGTGACTCAACGGATTCCTCAGATGTTGGGGCTAGCGTCGGACGCCCATACCGTCTGTCTGACCCGTTAACAGTACATGCGGGATCATTTATAATGCATAGAGTGTGTTTATAATATTAACATCTTGTTCTAAATATAAAATGTGCAACATGAGGATGTGATGGTACCGGTATCATATAATCTCTCAACATGGAGAGGTATGTAAGGGTCATGTTACACTAGTTGAAGTTCTTTCCATAAGGTTCATCATGCGATACCGAATGATATGAAAATGTGATGGTAACATGGACCTTGGCATCTGTACGGTCTAAAGATGTACCGGGTATCCAAAAGACTTTATTCACCATAGCTGGCCATATTAAATTGAAAGCAATGTAAGGCCAAAAAAAAAAATAGTCGGAAAAAAAAAAAAGTCCGTCTCTGGTCAGCGCACGCGTCAATTTTAATCATGCGCGTCAACCTTTTTTTTCTCCAAAATGTTCCACGGTAGCTCCAACAGCGCCCTCTATTGCCGCACCTCCTCAAAATTTTTTACCAAAGAGCACCAAGGAATGGGAAATTGCACCAAGGCAAATGATCGAGGGCACCAAGGCAAATTCTGGAGGACACCAATGTACATGAGGACACCCAAAAAAAAGCAAAATAGTACCCCACCTTGTCTGTACAATCCAAGCTTGAAAAAAAAAAAAAGCAAAAAAAAAAAAAAAAAAATCCGCGTCGCCGCATCAATTCCAGAACTTTGGTCTGACCAGAGACTGAGTTTTTTTTTTTTGGCCTAAATTCTTCATATTTTTGGAATGTGTGAGTAGAAATGAAAGCAATGAAAGAAAACTTCATTACAAATTAATACCAGTCTGCTCTGATGAATTATTCTAAATTTGTGATTAAACATACCCTAATTTTTTAAGCCATATTTAAAAAAAACCAAAATTTAAAAGTGAGGCTTGGCACGCACTCCTATCATAAAATAGTCTGACACCATCCCATTCAACAGTTTACAGTTTATAATGAAGAATGTTCAAAACCTAACCTGTTGAAATTTCAGTCCAGTTGATACTACACTTTTCGAGGAAACAGTGAAAAACTATGCACAACCTTTTGATCACGAAACAACATTTTGTCAAATGCACTCTTTATTCCAAAAATTAGTCAATTGACTGATCGCTGGAATCACCTACATTTCTTGATTTCTACAAAATGACCGCAAGCCGGACGGAATAATTTCATGAGGTGTTTAGTACCAGTACGATCTTTAATCCAAGTAGGCTTTTGTTTTGGATAATAATTTGGTAGGTTACTTAAGGGATACATGCACATGATCCTATAATGCCTTTAACCCTAACCATCCCAAATCCTCCAAAATCCTTTTTGCAAATTGGAGGAATTTGCAGGATTGAGGTTACATGGCAAAAGTGTTTTGCTGATTTCGGAGTACGCACTGTGTCAAGGTCTTGGGCCGGACCTTGTGTTGTTTATGCTCAGCCGTGCATAAATTTAGTCCTTGATTATACTTGACATCCTCCACACTGCTCTAGGATGTCACTGTCTCTGCCTCAGCCTATTGACAGTCATAGCCGGAGGATTTTGCAGGATTCAGGCAGTGGTCACCTCTCCATGGACCATATTCAAGAAATAATGGAGGAATTTGAAGGATTGAGGCTGTAGGCTATTTTTCCATGAGGCCAATTGGAGGATTTTGCAGGGTTGAGGCTAAAGGCCTAGGGAGTTATGGTTAATATAACCAAATGTTGCCACTGAAGTTACATGTACTGTGCTCTGTTTATTGCTTACGGTTTAAGTACGGAAAGCTTAGCAGCACTGTGAAATTGAGAGAACCTTTTTTGGGGGGGGGGGGACAAAAGTCCAATATATGCTTTCATGCATTGATTTGAAATGTCTGTTATTAATGCAAAAGTCATGAAATGTTAGGATGAGATGCTTTCGTGAAGGTTTTTTTTTAGTTTACATAACTTTGCATTTCCTTCCAACGTTTTAACAATATTGTGAGAACACCAACTTCCTTGGCATTTTCAGACAAACTTAGATTACAGAAGATACTATTGAACAAAAATCTGTAAGGAAAATATGATATTATTCATGTACATTTGTTGTATGTGTGGGAGGATTCAAGTGGTTTCATTTTTCATAATTTATGGAGTCTTTATATCTGAAATTAATGTAAATTTGCTTTATGATTAACTGTCCAGGAAGGATTGTTCTTGTGAATCTCATCTGTGATGTAATGTTTTAAAATATTTTTTTTTCTTACTTATTTCCTTTTTGTTACCCAGTTAAACTGTTCGAAGTGATAGAAACAGAGAAGACATTGTACCTCGTCATGGAGTTTGCCAGCGGCGGTGAAGTATTCGACTACCTTGTGGCCCACGGCCGGATGAAAGAAAAAGAAGCAAGGGCCAAATTCAGACAGGTATGTCGGGACAACAAAAAGTCTGTTATGCTATCGTCACCCCTACCCATGTTGAAATCATCACGGGTTCCATCAAGCCTTGGGAAGGCAAAGCGTAGCGTTCACACTTACACCAAGTTGTACAGGGTCAGCTGTTGATTCTGGATTTTCTACCTGGGTAGAGCCTCTACCCTGGTCCTGACCATGGTTAGATTTTACCAAGGTAAAGCGCAGTACCCATGTTTGATTCTTGCTAGTGTGAAAGGAGTTCTGAAGTCTCTGTGTTTGACCCGGGTCCAACACAGACATTTTGGATAGTGTGAAAGGCCCTAAGGAGGAGGGGCTATTTTGTACAAAATGTTTTACTATACCTCATGAATATTCAATAGGCAGCCGCGGCAATTCATTGGTTCATTCCAGCAACTCAAGTGTGTGAAAGTCTGTACTATTTACCCGCGTCTTCGTACGCGCATGTGATGTGCAAAAACCAGGGAGGTACTATCACACACTTAGGTCGCAGCCTTAGATTTGTTCCAGTAGTGTGAATCTTTTAACCAATGATCATCCAACACCTCGGGGTCATTAGTTTTCAACATTTCCCCATAAACCATGTTGTATTTGTTTACTGTTGCCTACACATAACCATGAAGCATCATGTTCACACACATACGGAATTGTAAAAAAAATCTAGCAGCGTCTGATAGTTGTGCATGACGTTACAAGGCTAACTTAATTTCAGAAACCAAAAAATTCCATGAGCCATCAGTTTACAAATGTCAGAGGTACATCTGTGTGATAGCAAGACATTGAAGATGATTCATTAAGAAAGATGGATCCAGTCAAGACATGACGGTAGGAACTCGGGTCTACTCAAGTTACTGTCAGTGATATGAATGAGGCACATGCACTTAATGATTCCAACTTTACTTCCTAGCCGGAATAAATCGTCTTGGAGTCTTTGAAGGGAAAAAACGTTGTTAACGCTGCTCTTATGTCATAACTTGTTAGTTTCCAACGCTTGACCGAAGTCTGCAGAAGGTTCTTCTAGTCTTGTGTCAGTAATGATTGTCTGATGAAATTCCTATAAATTAAAAAATTCTGTAGAATATTCATGTGACGCTCATCAGAAACGATCATCCGTTGGCATTCTGTAGATTCCGTAGAAATAGACCAATCCATTAAGGCCAGCTCCACGATGCCTTGATCATTCACAACCGTGATTGATGTCTGACATTAGGGCTGTCCCCAATATATCAAATATTCCGATGTTCGATCGTCAACCGTACATGTATATTGGAATAGCTTTTTTTGCCAATTTGAATTTTAACCAGTTCGCGTTAGAGGCCGTGTTAACACGCACTGGCTGTTTTTATACACTGGCATGGCTGACGGGTTAAATTGTCAAGCGTGCTTCGACTCGCCTCCAGGTGACGTCTAAACACGCTAATCCCTTGTGCTTTTTGTACACACACATAAAGTCCATGTAGTCTGTGGAGGCGGACCGTGTGCTGACCATTGTGTGGGCCGTTGTGCACGGCCTATTGTTCTACAATTTGCGCTCCGTTGCACACCCCGGAGTGTTGAAAACTATGAGGTTTTGGCTAGAAATATCGTACATGTTGAAATGACTCTTGTGAAATGACTCTTACGCAGCTGGCGTTCTGAAAACTTGATCGGTGAGTTTCAAATATTTGAATACATGTATTTGGTTAAACACAGTTTCGAATAATCAAATACGAAATTATTTGGAAGTGGACAGCCCTATCTGACATGGACGCGCAAAAGTCCGACATCTGTGAACATGCAAATGACGATTGTGTCTGGAACATTCAGTGTGGCATGGGAGAAGCACACATGTTGTTGCCCATGTGCCCAGTAGATGGGGCCTAATCAATCAATCTATTCTACGGTAATATCGACAGACCACATGTAAATGAAATTATTAGAATTCTGTGCAACGTTGAACATCTTTGATGCAGAAGCTGAAAGCTTCTGTGGCAGTTGCATGAACCTGCTTTGTGAACCCGCTTTATAAAATACGTTAGTGAAGGGCAAAACTCAATGTTGGATTTACATCATCCCGACTCACATGCCATGTTATGGGTACCCACTGCTCTATCAGATTCGAATCTGCCAGCCAACCCCGCAAGCTTGGTGGTCGAGTGGTAAGACGTCTGCACTAGTAAGCAGGAGGTCATGGGTTCGAGTCCCACCTGAGTGATTTTTTTACACAATCACTCGGGACAGCACTGAGTATAAAGTGTTTATAAAATACTTCGGTGAAGGACAAAACACAATGTTGAATTTACCGGCACATCACCCCGATGCAAATTCCATCTTACGAATGGCATGAACCTTATTGTTTCTTTTTCCTTTCTTTTTCGTCTTGGTTCTGCAGATTGTTTCCGCAGTTCAGTACTGCCATCAGAAAAGGGTCGTCCATCGAGATTTGAAGGTTTGTGATACCTTTGCCCATTTCCGCTTAGCAGGAAATATAGCTAAATAAATTTAGAGGCTGACCAAAAATAAACCGAGAACCAGTCACATGCAGTATCCAACACATGGTAGTTTGGTTGGTAACCAGTTCTTTGCTGAGCGACATTTATCTGATCTTAGCCAATTTCCATGCATAGCAGTTCCGTGGTCGTTATTTTTTAAAATCGTAGATAGACCTGTGAATGGTCTATCTTTGGTACATCTTTACAAGTGCGCATAACATAGAAATACAAATAAATTGTGGAAAACCATTTGGTGTCCAGTTCTAAAACTAATCATGCTGCACATGCCCAGGAATTTGGCATCGCATCAAGTGAAAATCCAGCTTGGCCAGAAAATCTCTGGTCTTTTGACGTACAAGCCAAACCTACCGGTATGACCAAGGACATTGCAAAATTGGTTTGAACCATAATTGCGGTGATGATGTCACTAAAACAGGAAGACGGAATTAACTTAACATCGGGAGTAATACCCATGTGCCCCCCTTCTCTCTCTTGGGGTGCGTTTGAGTAATGAGAGGCCGTGAATTCATGGGTTTGCTTCTCTCTTTTTTTCTTCTTTTTTTTGAGGCAGCAGCAAAATGGCCTTGTGCACTTGCTTTGTTGCAGATCATTGGCATGTTGTGCGGAGTCTTGGTATTGAAACGGCAGGATGTATTGCATTAACCAAAAAAATTAGGCACAAAGTCAAGAACACTTGGAATCACTTTCAGGTTTATGCATGTCACAATTACTCATTGAGTTCGTGACAAGAAATGACAACATTTTATAGTGTATTTTATTTTTTTCCCTTCTGGGTTTGCCAATATTTAAGACATCTAGTTTTCCCCCGCACTATTTGCAATAAGTGCAGTGTTGTCTTCAACAATGCTTTATTTCCTCGATCTCTAGATTACATACATGTCTTGTTAAAAGTTGCGTCCCCTATACTCATCAATAAAATTGATTTTTTTTTTCTGTTCATACATTTCAACTTGTATGTTTTATTCCAACCAAAAAAATCCGCCTTCTCCCCCCCCCCCCTTTTTGGGGGACATCGCATTCCTCTGAAAAAGGGTTTTTGTTTTATGCACAAATAGATCTGCTTTGCAAGCAGACTGGCTCCCAGTCCTTATATTATCGATACTGATTTGTGTGGCAGGAACCAGCCTACCCTGCAAGAATGGAATTATTGTCTGGCAGCCAATAATTCCAAATTGTAAAGTAATAATTCAATAACTAAACATAGGACAGTTTTTTCTTTTTGGTCGATGTCTTGTTCAAAAGTGAATAACTTTTGTATTGCTAGAAAAATAACAATTTGAAAAATGAAACTGTGTCCAGGTCTTGGGCTGGACCTTGTGTTGTTTATGCTCCGCCGTGCATAAATTTAGGCCTAAATTATACTTGAAATCCTCTGCACTGCTCCAGGATGTCACTGGCTCTGCCTCAACATATTGCCAGCGATTTTGCAGGATTGAGGCAGTGGTCACCCCTCCAAGGACCACATTCAAGAAATAACGGATGATTTTTGAGGATTGAGGCTGTATGCAATTTTTACATGAGGGCAGTTGGAGGAATTTGCAGGATTGAGGTTGCATCCTAGCAAAAATGCCTAGGGAGTTAAGGTTAATGGTTCTGTCAAAATGTGCTTTTATTTTAAAATGATTCTTCCGTTGTATATTTCCCTTCCAGGCGGAGAACCTTTTGCTAGACAAAGACCTCAACATTAAGATCGCCGACTTTGGCTTCAGTAACGAATTCACACCAGGCAGTAAGCTAGACACGTTTTGTGGAAGTCCGCCCTACGCTGCGCCCGAACTCTTCCAAGGCAAGAAGTACGACGGCCCGGAAGTAGACGTCTGGAGTTTAGGTGTTATACTCTATACCCTCGTCAGCGGCTCGCTACCATTCGACGGGCAAAATCTAAAAGTGAGAATCATTTCTGGTTGTTTTTTTTTAAACATAATTGTGGCTGAATCCTTACACATAGTTTAAAGTGCATTTAGAGATGTAGTTAGCTCAACCGTCATCTTAAGTCATCATAAGTTGATCACACGTCGATCATTAGTCAATCACAAACCAATCACAAGTCAATCACAAATCAATCACAAGTCAGCCACAAGTCAGCCACAAGTCAATCGCCAGTCAATCACAAGTCAATCACAAGTCAATCGCAAGTCAATCACAAGTCAGTCACAAGTCAATCACAAGTCAGCCACAAGTCAGCCACAAGTCAATCACCAGTCAATCACAAGTCCATCACAAGTCAATCACAAGTCCATCACAAGTCAATCACAAGTCAGTCACAAGTCAATCACAAGTCAATCGCAAGTCAATCACAAGTCAATCACAAGTCAATCACAAGCCAATCACAAGTCAATCACAAGTCAATCGCAAATTATCCAATCTCAAGTCAAGTCACAAGCTAGTCAAGTGAGCAATGGGCCTTATTCACGAGTCGGCCAAATTGAATTGAAAGTTAGGTAAAATCTTAATTTTTGGAACTTATGAAGAGGAATGACAGCAACTTAATGTATAATATATTCCAGTCTGCTTCAATGAATAATATAACATTTGTAATTAAACGTTTCCCAATGTTTAAAGCCATATTAAAAAAAAAATGACAGTAAAATAAGGCTGCATTATGCCTGCATAAAAAGTCTGGTGCCATCCCATTCAACAGTTAACAATTAATGAAATACATTCAGGGAACTCAACAAAAATGGCCCACTCATGAATAAGGCCCATGATTTTGTCTTTGTTCATCCCTTGTGATTTGCAACTGTGATTCTATTTGACTACAGCTCTGGCATGAAATGCGGTCAGCGTTTGATATTTACGTTAAGTTTACTCCTTGTGTTGTTAACTCTTGTACAATTTTGTCGATTTCCTCAACAGGAACTAAGGGAAAGAGTATTACGAGGCAAGTACCGCATCCCGTTCTACATGTCAACGGACTGTGAAAACCTGCTGAAGAGGTTTCTGATGCTCAACCCGGCGAAACGTGCCAATCTAGAGGTTTGTTTGGTCCAAATGTCAGAACTGCAGGCCTTTTCGGAATCGTTTGTCTAGAGCTGTTGTGTACATAAAGGTCCCAGACAATAGTGATCTGCAGAACCCATGTTAAAAAAAATGTAAACAAGATAGTCTGGTATTTGAAATTATGTCCAGGCTGTTGATCACTACTAAAAATGACATCTGCTCAAAATAATTTTTGATCTTTTCTTTCAGACGATCATGAAAGACAAGTGGATGAACAGCGGCTACGAAGACGACGAGCTCAAGCCGTACCAAGAGCCGGAGCTCGACTTCAACGACGAGCGGCGGATAGAGATCATGCTCAATATGGGCTTCAAACGCAAAGATATCGACGACTCGCTCAGGAACCATAAGTATGATGACCCCTATGCCACGTATCTCCTGCTGGGTCGCAGGGCACAAGATGTGAGTCTGGAAAATTGTTTCCCCATTCCTTAGTCAGGTTTTTCTGGGTTTTTATTTGTGCTTTTATGTTGTGATTGCAAGGTTGGGTCAAGTTGTGACGTCACTGTCCATAAGTAAAATAAGGAATTAGAGAGGTCCAAACTTGAAAGGTCTCAGTGATCAAATCATAAATTGTGGAGTGCTGTGGCTTCTTGGTCTGGAGCATTGAATTCGTGGTCTGTGGGTAATTTTGCAGGTTGTTGGTTTGAGTCCAGCCTGGGGTTATGGTGTGTGTGCCCTTGGGCAAGGCAATTTGTCACTCATTGCTTCTCTCCACCCAGGAGTAGATGGGTGCATGTGAGGGCAGAGATGGTTATGTGATTGAATAAGCTTGCTTGCACCTAACAGGCAGCATCGAGCTGTATACTCCCCAGGGAGCTGAGATGGTATTTGGAATGTTTCATTGGCCCAACTAATAATGATGTAGCGCCTTGAGCACCAGTACTGGTGAATATGTGCACTTTATAAATACACGTTATTATTATTATACGTGTAAAGGTACCACTAAGGAGACACGTTATCGTAATCTCTTCGCACGATGGGAGACATCGGTCATTAGGGAGACATTTTCATGTCTCCCTAATGTCACAGCCCCCTTTAGAGGCACAATTTATTGTCGCAATTAGGTTATATTTGTTGCTCTTGGTCTAATTAGCAAACATACCAACATTTGTGGCAAAAGAACAAGAGAATATTGGGTTAGGGCACATTTAAGTTTGAAAAATTTTGTGCACAAGTCTATGGGGATGTTTCCCAAATGTCCAATCCAGGGTAATAATTATTATTATTATTATTGAATTGAGGGACAAGTAACAGGCATGACATATGATGCCTTTGTCACAAATTGTTCCAATAGCTTGTGATTTAACTTGTGATTTGACTTGTAATTGACTTGCGATGGCCGGTGATGACAATTATGCTCACCAGTTTTCAACAACATTTGTTCTCATTTTTGGATTGTCCCATACCCCTCCCTTACAGTCAGAGGAAGCTGACTCCACGTCCAGTAGCAGCCTCTCGCTAACGCAGCGCAACGTCTCGGACATGACCTCTGCCATCTCCCCATCGCCCTCCTCCCATGGTAAGAAACAACAACAACAACAACGCGGCGTCCCCTCCAATCAGAAAGAGAGACGATTTAGTCATGGCGGAGAAAATTACGGTCAGTTGTTTCGTTTGAGGGGTTGGGCTTTCCTACGCTGTCTCGTGTGGCACTCTCTTGGTGGCTGTGAGTGGAGGGGATCTCTTTTTCAGAGTTCTGCTTGGTTGCGGTTTGGTCAAAGAATTTGATCAGTGGCAAGGAAAAAGCTTTCAATCAGAAGAAGATTCTTTAGAAGTTATACAAATTCAACCCCACCCCTTGAAATAAAATCTTCTTTTATCACAATCCGAAACTAAAATCTTTTCCTCATCTATTTTTGCTCTCAAAAACAACAAAGTGAAATATTTCTAAAAGGTATTTCATAACGTTCTTTTCAAATACTTGCCTTTTGTACTAGATATTTTTTTTCATTTAGGATGTAATTTTTTTGACCTTGCAGGAAAAGTGACCGTCAAGATAACCTACCCTGAGCAGGCCGGTAGGTCTACGCTTTCCCTAATCACACCGCTGCTCATCACAATCACTCTAGTTTCTTTCAGATTTAGTTTTCTTCTTCCTTTTTTTTCCTCTCAAGATATTTAGAATCTAGAGGTGGTGGTTTTTCCTCCATGAAAAGTTGCTTTAACATCTTAGCATTTTAGCCTTCTAGCCTGAAGAATACTAAGTAGCTACAGTAGGGCATCCCTTTTTTGATTCATTGGTTCTCATTTCTGACCGACCCTATTATGGGCTCCCAACCCAAGAATTAGAAAACCTATTTTTTATTACCCCCCGACCCTGTGTGGAACCCCCACTAACAAAAACATAAATTAATGGGGGGAAAATGAAAATCAAATTCAGACAATCGGGCACTGTGATTTTTTAAAAACTATTGAAATTGTTTGCATTTTTATCCCAGAAGATGTGAGGGAGATGCCTCTCATCAAATAAGGGTTTTAAACATGTAGTTCACCTTGACAATTATGACATGGCTGCCACACTACAGCCAAAACATTACACGTTAGCTGCTTGGTGCAGATATAATGTAAGTCAACTACTTCTTGCCTAAGATGGCTTTATTATTTTGTTGTGATATCAACTCACGATAATGTCATCGTAATAAGCAAAACTAGAGACAATACGCACTTGGCATCATTTAATTTAGCCATCGATATGGGCACAACTGCAAATTTTTTTCTTAAGATTTCTATTTTTCGCCCACAGACCGATCCGACCTCAGAGGCCAAAAATATGAGAACCATAGATATAAAAAGGATGTCCTTATCATCTATAATAAACACTTGAAACATTACTAAGATGAGTTGATAGGTTTGAGGAAAGAAGAATTTTCACGCTTTCGTTTTGAAAGCAAATTTGGGATCAAATAAAACAAACAAGTGCATTCCGAGCAAACACCTTAATATTGAGCATTTTGGAGAATTTTAAAAAAATCCAGAAAACACACATTTTGATGGGGCACTCAGATTTTGTTCTGTGCATTAGTTTTTCATTTTTGCTGAGTACAAGTTATTGATCATTTTAAATTTCACAGCTTACGTCATTTATTTTTAACTTTTTTAAATCAATGCTTGCAGATTGAGTAAACTTTCAAAACCCAAAAATTTAATCTACATTCTAAAAAAGAAGTAGTTTGATTTTAACAACAGAGGTACGCATTTTCAGGCTTGATGTTTCAAACTGATCTGTAGACATTAATATTTAGATCTCATCTGTCCGACATAATATCAAATCTTTGAAAGGCTTGCAGAATCATAATTTTGACATTGTCATATATTATGATAATGCAAGCCTTGTATAGATTAATACATAAAACTCAAATTTCATTTACAATTTCACCAAATCTATTTCCACTTTCTTGACCACCTGTAGCTCTTACAAAAACTAATTTTAGACGAGGGGGAACAAAAATGCAAAATTGGGACTTCAGCCACCAATCCATTACATCCATCCATCCAGCTTAGCCGTAGCTCCTAGCCACTGATTGTATCCTGTTAGCCACTGATCAGATCCTTAGGCTAACCTTTGACCTTCGACCTTTGAAAGATCCCCTCTAACCACATCCGCTTTTTTTTTTCCATACTTTCCAAAACAGTTGTCATGGAAACAATAGACCCAGGCGCACAGGATCAAAAATTTGAACCCCAGGTCTCTCCAACCCGCCAAATCGTCTCCTTCAAAGCAACTTGTCCGAAAACTTTTTAACTGAAAAAAAAATGTTCAATTTTGACAGGTTGTCTAACATTTTTTGGCATGATGACATTAATTATTTAGCCCTCTCCAAAACTGCCCCATCTGTTGTGTTTGAGTCACCCGACTTGTGTTTCCCTTGGGTTTATTGTTTCCGTGACAACGACCCTACGACCTAGAGTATATTGTACATTGTTTTGTTCACCGTAATCCGTTTCTGTCTTTTCCATGTCTTCCATTGTTAACTTGCCGTTGTCAACAATAAAGTCATCCGAAAACGAGGTAATATGTTGACTCCCTTCTCTCGCCCATGCCATTGGGCTTCACATATTTTTTACACTCTTCATCTTCAGTAGATAACGCTTTCTTCAATTTTTTTCCTCTTTGAAATTCTTGAATTTGATTTTTTGATTTATCGTACGTATTACATGACATACTTTAATTCTTTTGTTCATGTGTTTTACCCCATTGTAGCAGGTTTATAGAAGTTTACGTTTTTTTATTTCGTCCTTTCCAAGTTTGACTTTTTGTTTTCTGTGGGTAAGGTTGCAGTTACTTCACAGAATTGTCACGGAAAATTGTTGATTTTTGCATAAATCGACCATTGACATTATAGTATTTTTTACAACATAGCTGTGCAACTAAACAGCCAACAAATTGAAGAAAAAAAAAAATGCTGCTTTAGTCTTGACAGAGATATGTAGAGACTTCTGCATTTCATTTTTTGTTCTGCCTGTCATTAACATGGCATAAGTAGATTTGGCTTTAACAGCTGGAAATTTGTTTTTGTTTTTGCATATATCACACAATAGTAGTCATGTTGAACAGTGACATCACACAAAATGCAGGTGAGATACACTTACATCTCGCTTTGAAAAGTGTCATGTTCACACACAACATTAAACCCTGAAAAAAGGAGGGGGTTGTCTAAAGAAAAAAGGAAACAGATAATCCACAAAGCAGTGACAAGGGAGACACAAAGCTGCTTTTGTGTCAAGGTCAAATTATGATGAGAAACCACTTCGGGGGGGGGGGGGGGGGGGGGGGGGGCAGGGGGCAATGGTTTTGGTCCTCACAAGTCGTCCATTTTCATCCACATTCATGTCCTATGTTCCAAGTGAATCTTGAGTGCTTGTATAATGGCAAAAGATTACACTCTTTCATATTTTCCATCATATAAGCTGCAAGTGTTTGTTGGTTATAAACCCTATCAAAGTAGCAAGACGGCATTTAAATTTTCAGCTGCATTCAAAAACTATGTTCAACAATTTTTCCATCTAGGACTGTTCTTATTATTAAAACAAAAAATAGCTTTCTAAAATACGTACAATTTCCTCATCTTGAAATAAAATTAGATTCACTCCCCAAAAAGTTTATTAAGTATGCCATCCAACTCGGCACGGTCAACACTGTGAGTTTAGAACCAGTCTTGTTCCCAGAGTCGACCAATACAGATTGCACCACACAAGCTCTCCTAACCATAGAACAGACTATTCACTTTTTTGCTCGCATGACTGAGAATTATAATTTCCAATTAGAAACTCAATTTCCTAGTGATTCATATATACCTGTGGTGGGAGAAACAGCAGATTTCAAAATCCGGTTATCGTCATTTTTTTCGAACCGAATAATGATTTGATTTCACTGGAAGTTCCCATTCAGCTTACAGTCATAGCAACAAAACTTGCCGGGTGAGGTGCTGCATGCAATGCCCTCCACCAAGGGTATAGTTTGCGAGATTCATTGACCACTCGGACTTTACATAATCACTTCAGAGTAGTAATGGTGAAAAAACAGATGTGAACTCTCCTCTCCGATCAGTTGAATGAGCAGGCTATCCATGAACTAAGAAGACCATTTGTGAGTAACTGTGTTCACAGTCAGAGACCATGGAGCAAATTTGGGAATGTTCCATATATTTTCTTGAGCTTGTGTCACAAAAAAATGGAAGGCTTAATTTTTTTTCAGGTTGGTTTCGATTATCCGGTTCTGAAATCCAAACAAAATAGTGGAATTCGGATTTTAATATCGTCCCAGTTTTCATTGTTGTGGGAATTTAAAAATAACAATATTTTGCCCACATCGGGATGTACAATGAAGAGATGGGAATTTTTGAACCCAAAAAATGTTTCAAATTAATCAAATGTTAAAGCAGCATATTTTTATAGCCACTCGTCTGTTTGCATACTTGAATTACACAATCAATTTTGTACAGGACCGTAAAAACCCCTGAATTTTTTAAAGACAATTGAATAAAACCTTTTTTAATTTGGTTCAGTTTGGGTCAATTCTTAGGACCCCCTCTGCATGAGTTGTTATTTTTGAGTACTCTTGGTTTTAGTAATTTTGTTTTGAGATACATGACTTTGCCTGTTACATGTAAGTTACATGGCCATTTCATTTTCAATGTCGTTGACTGTCTAGTGTATAGAGAAATCTAAATTTCAGTGGTGTTATTTTCAGGTTTTTTTTTTTTTTGCCATGAGGGAAATTTTAGCCGGTCCCTGATGTGAATTTTAAATTAGCTGTCTGAGTGGTTTCTCCCTACATATAGGCTCACATCTGCTCAAACACAATATAGACTGGTACCCATTCACGTGCACCACTTCCTTATACTTGCATTTGGGAACATGACCGAGATGAATGCCCAGAAAATCATAACAAGAACGCTTTAACTTTTTTTTCCTTTCAAATTTCACCAGGCATAGCATAGCATTGCTGCTGTTTAACCCAACATCTTTGCAAAATAAGCTGCTAGATGATTGACATACATCATCAACCTTACACCATTTAAAAACAAGTTGATTTAGATTGACATTTTAATCGAACATTGCATTTGTTAAAAGCAGTTGCCCTTATGATACTTTCTTCAGTAGAAACATGGCATCAAGATGTATGGTGCAGTAGGGAGCTGAGAGTAAATGAAAAGCTGCCACTTTTGCAAGCTGAATTGCTGGGGGGAGTTAAATTTAGTGTCTTTTGAAAAGACAGGATTCAGGCAAAGCTTTGTCACTAACCAGATAAAATTTTCCCACGTTCCGAAGGTTTTCCAATGCTTTTAAGTTCCATTAACATTCGACACTCATATGATCTGTTATGAAGATTGAAATGACATTTCATCCTCCAAAAATCATCACATCAAATCCATAGTCTTCATTTGGATTGCTGTGCTATGAGCCTGGGCATTTCACACATCATTTTTCGTAATTCACTGTCACGTTTTGAACCAGTTTACTTTCCCATTTTGTTTTTGTTTTTGTCATTTACTTTTTTTTTTTTTTGGTGTGGAGGGGTCCAACTACACATATTTTTTTTAATCAGTCGTGAAAACTGATTTCTGAATGATCGATTCAGTGACCGGATGTGCCTGCATTTGACCTGTGACCTTTGATCTAGTGTGGGATGATAGTATACCCTGGTCCTGCCTGATTGTTCTACCCTTCAACCCACGAAATCTGATAACTTTTTGGGTCATGTGACTTGTTCTTGTAGTTTTTTTTTAGGTTAAATGTGCTCTAACCCTGCTGTTCAGCATTTTTGATGTTTTTCAAAAATGCTGAATTTTTCAATTTGTACGTGTATGTTATATTTCCAGAGGAGTACTTTTTCCCTGTTTTGGATGTTTTCAACACTATGAAAATATGTTCAGTTTTGGGTTGCTTTTGCACCCATTGAGTACAAATCGTATGTGCGTAAATCATTGTTGGACCGCAAATAATCGAAATTTGTAAAGTAACTAATCCATAACTACACGTTAGCCGATTCCTTTCTTGCTTGATGACTCATTTATAAGGGAATTACTTTTGCATTCCTATAAAAATAGCAATTTAAAAACAACTTTTTGGGGGGTAAAAATCAAAAATTGTACGGGGAGAGCAACATTAACCTGGCAGGATATACTGAAATGTCTGAATAAATGTTTGATTTGTGAACGGTCCCAAGGAAACTAAGACAAATTCTGAAAGTTGAGAAATCAGACTGCGCTACCCTCGCACTCTCAATACTCAAAATCATCAGCGTGCAGCCAAGTCCGAGTGTGGTCATCAAAAGCTTGTGCTTCAGGTTGCAGGCTCGACCATTTCCCCCTGAAATACAGTCCATTGAATAAAAAGTAGTGGGTCTGAAAACCCTGCAGTTGCTGCTTATGTAGCCCTCTGAAGCAAGTGCTACAGGAAGGTTTTCAGTTGAATGTTGTTCCTACATTGGTTGAGTACCAAAGGTGAATATCTACTCTTTGCAGACAGGCAAAGAAGATTTCCTCACCGTGTATTGTAATAGACCAGTTGCATCTGACATCACATCCGAGGGCAGGTCTTTGCCCCTCTGTGATACCCATGAGTAGACTGTTTGTACTTTTATTGTCACAAAAAACACTTCCCTTGGTGAGGATGCAAGGGGACTCAAGATGATATCATGAAAACTGGAAATATGTGTAAGGCTTTTTGTACCCGAGCATGTGTCTTCACATCGGGGTAAGCTCAGACACTGGGGCAGGGGAGTCAACAGTGTCAATCTGGGTTTACTGACTAAACCCAGGTCAAGTTTTACCTGGATTTGTAAGCATTTGCAGGTATGAGTTTGAGAAAACCAAACATCAAACTATTGGCAAGAAGCCGTCCCATTTGTGTACATACAGTGGAACGTCGCTATACTGAACACTGCTATACCAAACATTCGGCTATACCGAACATCAGCCTTGGCTCCCAATTTTTGTGTACAAAACATACCGAACATTGTTGTTGGAAATGTCAACAGAAGAGCGACAAATGGTTATTATTTCCCCAAGGAATAGAAGGGGAAAGCCACCCATGTAAGCTCATAAATCGACATGATTCAATAGCCCCACGCATTCAAAGTCGTCTTTCAGTAACTACCAGGACGTACATGTACTGGGTGAATTTCTGCTAATGGAATTGAAAAGATGAATGGACACGTTTAGCGACTCTGCGCGTGGTTTGTAAATGCAACTACACTATAACAATGGTCAAAAGAGGGCGCCACTAATGTGTGAAAATCACTATACCGAAGGATCGCTACTATGAACAATTTCTATGGATCCCAAGATGTTCGTTATAGCGACGTTTCACTGTACATTGTAAAGTTAAGTTCAGCTAGCATCCAGCTCAGGACAAAACACTTAGCTGTTTGATAAATGTAAGAGAATATTTCATTTGAACCGGTTGTCAACTCTTTAACCACAGGTTCGCATGTGACCAGTTCTTCGTACAAACGCCACAACATTGACAATGGGCTGAAGGAGAACATTGTCATGACGCGGCAAGGGCGGGCCAGCGCGGGCGCCATCGGCAACAGCAAAGGAACGACGGGTAAAATGGGCGGGACCACCACGCCCACGCTCGGAACTCCCAACAGCCAAGAAGGGTCGTCGTCACGGAAACAGAAATCAGCTACGCCAAAGGTTGGTTGGCCAGGGCCGTTCTGTGGCTCAATCATTGAGGTGTCCGACTCGGAGCATGAAGAGTAGTTGGTGCTTTGACTCATTTTCCCTTTTGTTACTAAATTTTAAACTGATATTAAGTTGTTCTTAAGAAATGTTCAAAACAGACCAATCCAATAAGGTGCTTCATCCTTATTACCCTGCTCATTAGACCAGTGGAACATTCCAAATACAATCTCAGCTCCGTGGGGAGTTTACAGCTCGATGCTGCCGTTTTGGTGCAAAGCAGCTAAAATCAGTCACTATAACTGTCTGCCCTTACACAGACCATTTACCTGATACAGTGCCTTGAGTATCATGCACTTTCTTTAAAAAAAAAAAATCACGCATGCACGAACACAATAAAGAAGAGAATTCCTTGAGAGTGTTTTAATTTGATGTTCATGTGTCTTGCCTTGGCAGCACATACCCAGCAACCCTGGTATGACTAGAAGAAACACCTATGTATATGGAGACAGAGACGCAACAGGAAGCAGTAGAACCAACGGCCAGAATGAACGCTACAATATCCCTGGGTAGGTAGTGGCAATGTTGCGTCAAGCGTGAGGGGTGGGGAGGGGGGTGGAGAGGGCAAGGGGCATTTTCTCTTTGACAAATGGGTCGATTTTGAACTCTATCAAATTTCATTTGTCTTTTGCAGGATAGAGTTTTGAGTTTGGAAAGTGAAAATAACAGTATTGGGTTTTGTTTTTCGCCAACATAATATTTGTAAGCACTGTGTACTCAGTGCCGTCAACATCAGAGAGCCTTCGAGAAAAAAATCAAAAGCTTACTTGGGTGGGACTCGAACCCATGACCTCTGCTTGCTAGTTTTCAAATTTGACTATGTTTCAATGATTGATTCTGGGCACGAACAGAAGGGATCTTCCGGTATCAACGGCGAGACCCAGGCATCAGAAGTCAGCGTCCACCTCAGGGCATCCTAACAAAGGCACGTCCCTACCGCCCCTAGAAGATCCAACGGATAGACCCAGGTAAATAGGACTGCCTACTCTCCCTGATTCTGCAGAATGTTCCCTGAAGATAAACCAATCTTTCCACGTTCTGATGAACAAATTTGAAAATCTCCCTGATTATGGAAAGTTTTTCCCTATTATGTTGATTGTAATTCTAAGTATCTCCCTGATTGCAAGATGCAAATGTTGGCAGATCAGCTTGGAAGCAGTCGGTCCCATGCAGACACTGAAAAAGGTGCAGCGAAATCTAAAATGCCAAAATCTCTGTATTGGACCCGGGGCAAACCTCAAGATATTTGAGAACCCTTTTGCTCTAGCAAGAATCCGACATGGCTTCTATTCAGGCCTGGCGCTCAACATGGGTGAAATCCAACCCTGGTGGGGACCAGGGTTGGTAGATGTGAAAGTTGATGAGGGTTCTGTTGTCAGATGACCTGGGATGTAGTCGAGTCAATCACAAGTCCGGTCACAAAAAACAGTGGATGAACAATAACAAAGGAATGCCTTTGTCAAAGCTCATTTGAATAGCTTGTGAGTTGAATTGGGACTGGAGGACTTGTGATGGACTTGACTAAATCTCTTCGGATGACCTGTGATGATTTTAGCAAGACGATAAGTGTGAAAAGGCGTTAAGTGACTTCACTTACCTTAAGGCAGTGAGGTGTACATTGAGTGCCTTGTATCCCTCACCAATTGCGCTTAGACTGTTTGTGTTTGCAGAAAGCCTGCCTGGCCAATCTCATTGTGAGAGTAGCGCCATGCCAAGGAGCCGATGTAGTTTGTCTTCCTTTGTGTGGTTTGTTAACTCTTGTTCTGAACATTTCAGGATCATTTTGAAGAAATGATGACACGTTGCAAATTGTTAATTTTTCCAAAAGAATTGGAGGTCTCCAATTCTGGTTCTGATGATTCAGTTGACATGAATGCAAAATCATACGGCAAAAGTTGATAAATGCTGGCTTTTACCACAGAATAAAGAACAAAAACGCGATGGAAAAAACTCACCTCATGAACTCTTACCATTATTAATACCATTGTTTGCCTAGTCGTAAGGAATCTCAGAAGAGTATGTTTGAATACGCCATTTTTAATAAACCCCAATAGCATGATCTGAACTGAACACTTTATGCCTGTTTATGCTGAACATATTGCATGCAGGGCCCAATTTTATTGGCTCTGCTAAGCGTTTAGCTCCCTGCTTACTGTAGCAGAAAATTCCGTGCTTATGGTTTAAGCGTATTTCACAGGTTAACAGGGAATTTTGGCTTCTTTGCATGCGTACATCCCGTAACTAAGGATTCTGTGCTTACAGGGTTAGCACATAATCTTTCTGTTGCGCGGTTAGCACAAAATGGTGATCGTAAGCACAGAATTCTGTGGTTAGCAGAGCCGTGAGATTGTGCCCAGATGTACAGGCGCGCGGACGTACTGTTCATGCTGGACCCATCTTCAGCCCAATGTAATTTCACAAAGAAAATGAGACAAACTACCACTTGCTTGCCAGATTAATTGAGGGAGGGGGGGATCTCCATAATTGATTCTGGTTTCCTGTATTTAAACATTTCAATGTTTTCTTTGTACCTCTTCACCCCACCCCACCCACCTCCAGCACGGCACCAGGCAATAGACTACCCTTCCTCACTTCGCCGGCGGTCGGCGGCACCAACACGGGCAACATACGCTTCCCGCGCGGCGTCCCCAACCGTAACACCTTCCACGGGGGCCAGGTCCGGCGGCACCCCATGTTCAACGGGCCCAACGCCTCGCCCGGCATGCAGGACGGCATGGAACGCAACCGCAACTCCCTGTCCTTCTTCGGCAAATTGTCGTCAAAGTTTGCAAGGAGGTGCGTAAGACCGTTCCATTATCTGTCTCACTGTCAACTTACGAGTTCAGTGTATGTGTACGTACCATTGTACGGTGGATGCCTGCACAATTTTTGTTTTTTTCACAGACATTGGAAATTTGCCAAGTTGTTTATTTCTCTGCAAGGCAAAACATATATTTAAAAAAAATAATCAAAAGTTGGAAGCAATTTGATTTAAGTTTTAGTTTTGCTGACCATTAACGCATCGGTAATGATTGATAGCGATAATTTTCTGCACCAACGCTAGCTTCATCTTTCAAAACCATAACTGTCCCCCTTTTATTCTTTGAATTATTTCGTTTCATCATTCTTACTTCTACACCTACAGCATCAATAGCTGACTGTCCTACTCCTTTTGTTGACTTCTAAAGAGTTAACAAAACCACCATTTTACTTTCTGCTGCATCTTTACTTTTCTACCCTATTCTTTCATTAATACCTCTCTCATTGTTCCTTAACTTATTCAGTGCTAATTGAAAAAGCAAAAAGAAAAACTTACTATGTGTACTTTAAGTATTGGGTTGAATAACTTCTGAAGAAACAAGGAACATCAAGCAAAAGAAAAATTTAGGCCTTAAACGTCAGGAATGCGGAACGTGTGGTACTTGCTAGCCATAAGTTTCTGTAATTTATTCATATGTTTGTAGTTTGTAAAGAAGAATTAAGTATTCCAAACTATCCAAAAATTCTAGTAGCAGCTGCAATTAGCCTCTGTACTGATGACGTCACACTTTGTTTACATGTGCGCTTTTCTAGGCTCCCATAAGAAAGCACACAAGTAAACAAAGCGTGACGTCATCAGTACAGAGGCTTATTTGTAATCTTTAAATAGCCTTCACGACGTGTAGTTGTCGGGAATAAACACTCCAAATCTAGTGTTTGATTCTAAAAGGCATTGTGACATTTTTGCAGATTTTGTTGTTAGGCAAACATTATAAAACGTAAGATTCATCAAAACAAAATTTGCAAATTATCAAATATGTTTAATTTGGAGGTGACAATCAACTTCTTTACACACAATAAAATCAATTTTTCTAAAAAAAATTTTTACTTAAAGAAATAATCCTGAACTACTCTATTTTTCTCTTGATATGTTCATTAATTGTATTTTGGACCTTGTCTGGTCGTTGTCCTGTTTCTTCAAATTATGTTGTCCTCCGATTTCCATCAGTCCTTCGTCAGACATCATTATTTGTCCAGTATTTCCCACAGTGCACTGCATCACATCGGCTGACTGCTGTCATGCACACTACTAACTTGCATGATACCGTATCCTTGACACAATGAATGAGCCATTAATGGTTTTTAAAAAGTGGTGCCTGTGGGGCACCAGCAGAACCTTCAGAATCTTAAAGTGATAAGGGGGAACCAGTTGCATGTTAGTCTGGTACCCTGACTTACATTTTAACAATAAAGAGTATGGCGTTCTAACCATAACCACCTCAACTCCATCAAAATCCATCCCCCCATTTTGGTGAATTTTAGGGGACTTGGTCCAGAAGGCCTGGCGTGACTAAATATTGATGGAGTATGATGGACTTGGGCTTAATGGCCTGAAGCAGTGCTAGGGTTATCTGATTGATTTGGCCTAGCTTCCTGTACTGCTATTGTGATAAAAGCCATGTGTAGCAAGTCCATGAATGTCAACCAGTGCATCAGTGGTGGATTCCATTATGTCATGTACAGTTTTATATTGGACACACAGATTGATGGATTTTGATGGACTTGGTCCAGTTCCTAGTAAAAGACGCTAGGGAGTTAGGTTAATTTGATTGAAAACTAATATCTTTTTTCCGAATGCACAGAGATTAAACCCCAGACTTTAAATGAGGATCCGAGTATTTTCCAAGTACTGGCCAGGATTAGTCCGTACTTTTATCCATTCCATTTCAATCGTTTGTTTAGGGTGACCAAGTCATTGGACGGCCATTTCCGCTTGTGCCATTAACCTATTAACTCCTGCACTAACCCTTGTTTACCCCCATTTACCATCCAAGCTCATGCAACTTTTGCATATCTTGTTGACTTTACAAGCCCTGGGGAGGGGGAGGGGGAGGGCGGAGCAGGGGGAGGGCAGAGAAGGGGGAGGGCACTGTAGGTTTACCAGATTGTTTATCTACTTATTTTGACTTACAGTACCAAAAATTAAAAACAGTTTTCAAATCCTGTTTAAAGAGATCCAAGGAATCCCAAAAAAATTTTGCCGAATGACACTTCCTGCCTTTTCTCAGATGACACCTTTCTAAGGGTATAAAAGAGCGTGTTGCCATAGTAACTGTAGCCTCGGCATTGGGGTTTTCTCCTAATGCAGGGCGCCCTCTAACTACAGTGACCTTGGAGTAGATTACCCTCCAGATCTACCGCCCCAAACTCGGCCTCCTACTGGCATCAGGTAAACATGCATATTCATCACTGACTTTCAAGATGCAGTTCACGTTTAATGAGCTGAGATGAATATTCATTACTCATGAATATTCAGTATCCCAAGTTGTCCTTCTTAGACCAACAAAATGAACAGATGCTTTGATGTACAGAATTTCAAAACCCCACAGTTGCTGTGATAGAAATGAATATTCATTAGCCTCTTTTAAAGTGATCAAAATGTTTGCATGTTTCTAAAGGAATTTTACCACGCAGTTTGCATAATCATGTTTGTATCATAAAGTTGAACTCATGTTTATTGACTTCTGCTGTTTTGGATAAGCTCCTAAGGAAGTGTCCCCAATTTTTTTTTTCCTTTTTTATTGGCAAGATGTCATTCCTTTCCTCTCACTGTATGCTTGTAGGAACATTTTCTCGTCTAATAACTCCCTAGAATCTTGCTAAAGGAGCATATTGTCATAAAAAAATAATCATTTCTTAAAAACTGAAAAAGAAAGCTCAACAAATAGACATGTTTGCTCAAACAGTGATTATGATAATGATTGCAATAATGACGATCATCTTTGTGTATTCTTGCTATTCATCCATTACATGTCCACCAGCGCTGGCAATTTATCAAGGTAATATGCACCCTGCGCTTCTCATTATGCCGTTATACCATCAGTAATCTTCACCATTGCCTCTCGTATTTCTATCTCTCCTTCGTTCGTTTTATTCCGTTGAGGTTTGATTTCTGACAAAAAAAACTCAAAATTGTACTCCCTGTACATGTATGATTTTATTTCTTAATGTAGAATGTTGATCTCTACTGTAGAATGTTTTCCTTACTCACAAACACTCGCTTTTTTTTTTCCTCTTTTATTTGGTAGAGTAGTGAGTTGTCTTTTTGTGCTTGTTACTTTTTAGTTATTTAAAACAGTATGTGAAAATGGCCCATAACAGAAATCATTGTCAAAACTTCAAAGTAAATGCCCGAAATCATTTCATTTCTGTTATACTTGTTCTTTGTAACTGGTAAAAACAGTTACTCCTCCAGTTTTGGTAATGTCACCATAAATAGATTGAGAGGCAGAACGTGAGCAATGCAAAAACAGCACAGTAGTAGGCTACTAGTAGCAGTTAGAGGTACTTTACACAATAAAGTCAGTTGAGTTGTTATCATGTGGTTCTTGGATCTTGAATTAGACTAGTCTTGTTGCAAGACTGGCTTTTAATTCCCCTAATTTGCAGCCAGTCCCGTGACAAACACAGTTAAGTTACCACGGCGGTGGAGGTCTCTATCAGCAAGATGAATCAAAGCGTCCTGGCAATATTGGCAGCGCTACCCGGAAATCCCGAGCATACCTCACGGGCATGCATAATCTTGAATGCGGCACACGTGAGGTATGCTCAGAATTTCCTGGGTAGCGCTGCCAATATTGCCAAGACTGGATTTGATTCCTTGCATGTTGATAATGGCCTCGCTTGTCACGGACCAAGGCTAGAGTCAGACGTTACTGTTAACATCAGTACAATAGACGACCCTTTTAAGTTTACACGAAGAAGTTTCCTGATCTTGGGGAAATAGGGCCGTACATAATGCATTTGAAAGCCTAAAGCCACTTTGTTGGATTGTGTTCAGATACATGTATGAATTAAAAGTAATTGCATGAAGTTGTTCTGGAGTTTTTGATGCAAACAACCCAACCAAGCTGTGCATGTGTTGTGGAGCATCACCTTATGTTGTGTAGTCAAGCCATGCATTTATATTTAATATTTTGTGCGCTTGATTTAACAGTGACAGGCTGTACATGGTCCGACTGCTTTGTTTATCGACATTCATTGTTGTCCCAAATATATATTTTGTTGTCCTGTTGACGAAACTCAGATAGGTCGTATATTTCTTATGTTAGTTGTACTAAGGAAATATAGAGTTATGGAATTGTTTTTTTCTCAAACATTAAAGAAAGTTATTAATATGAAAACTATAAATGATCTTAAACTCATAATGTAGAACTTTCATAGGTTGCTTGACAACATTTTCCAGGAGGGGGGGGGAGATTTTTCAATCTTTATTCTGACAAAAGTGAGACAGGGATTCCCAAGTGGCATTTAAATTAAGAAACTTTGTTTGCGTGACGTATTTGCATCAATATTACATTCACAGCAGCTTTCCAAAATTGTTCAAACTATCACTTGTTGCTGTTCACATCACCTGTAGGCAGCACTGTTTTTTTTCTAAAACTGTATTTTATTTCTAATATGCAGTGATGTAGCAAAGCCTTCAGACCCCATATGCACATAATGTTTGATTAAGTCTTTGCACTTGTGTGAGCTTGCTGCCAAGTTCTCTTGGAACATCTTAGACTAAAGATACAAATCTTGTGAGAATATTTTTGACTTCTACTTTTCTTTTTGATATTATGCAGTGGTGACTTATCAGGGTTGTTTTGTGTTTTTGTTTTTGTTTTTGTGTTTACCTTGTTTATGTGATGCTATTTGTAGGTCCATCACTGAGAGGGATCCCAATCGCGAGGACCCCATTAAGCCACGCTCGCTGCGCTTCACCTTCAGCATGAAGACCACCAGCTCCAAGGATCCGGACTCCATCATGGGCGAGATCCGGCGAGTCCTGGAGGGCAACGCGGTGGACTTTGAGCAGCGAGAGCGCTATCTCCTCTTCTGCGTGCACGGTGACGGCCGCGGGGACAACCTGATCCAGTGGGAGATGGAAGTCTGCAAGCTGCCCAGGTTGTCGCTCAACGGCGTCCGCTTCAAACGTATCTCCGGTTCCTCCATGGCCTTCAAAAACATCGCCTCCAAAATCTCCAATGAACTGTGCTTGTGAAAAGTCAATGCTTCTTTGCTCATTTGAATATTTCTTTGTTTTTCTCTGTGGTTCCTCTGCTAGGCTTAGTCACTTTTTTTTTAATTTCACTGTTTTTTTTTTTTAAGGACTAGCTTTAGGTGAGGTTCTGTAAAACATGATGCATCATCGATTTGTTCTTAAAACAGATGTTGATCGTGGAGTGTGGCGGGCCAGCACAGACCTGACTTGGAGAGCTGTTTAAGCCACTGCACGATATTTGCGATTCAATGCAAACATTCCTCTGTTTCAAACATTCATGTCAGACGCGATCAAGAAATATAACTGCCACCAGCCTGTATATGCAATCATTTCTTCATTTAGTTGGCTTGCTAGACATATCAACAAAAACAACAACCAACCGACAAACAATTTTTGAATGACCCCCTCTACAAAAAAAAAAACCTTGCTCAACGCACCCAATTAAATTTTCCAGCAGAAACACACCTTATCAAAGTGATTCTTTGAAATAGTCCTATTATTCTCACTTCTTTTTTTTATAAATTATTAATTTTTTTGTGCAATGACTAATATTAAAAAAAAAAAATCTGAGCCTGTGATAGGTGAGCAACACTTGGTGAATTTTTTTTTATCTGGTTTGGAAGACTTTTGAAGAAAATTGGTTGCGGTCGGATTATTTTTCAGTATGTTGCACAGTAACAGAGCTTGCTAAGTATGCAGTGTCCTGTGATGTATGTCAGTTGTGACACTTTATCGTGGTCAACAAAAGTTCTGAAGAAATAATTCCTGGATGCTGTTTTTGTCTCAGGAAGATTGGCGCCAAGAGTTTTTGAAAAGAAAAGTCTCCCGTATAACCTTCAAGGCAAATGCCTGATTAGTATCAATAAAAAAATCATTTTCAGTTTGCGTGACACAGATTGTCATTTTTGGGTACCTCACCTTTCCTGGAAAACGAAAACATTACAACCGACGAAGAGTGTCAAAGCACTTTATAAGCTAAACCCAATATGAGGTCTATTTGTGCGAATACTTAAAAAAATAAAAATAACAAAAACGCAGAGTTGACTTGTAAAAAAAACCCAGCTTTCAATCAGATTTTCAAAGATTCATTTGTTTTTTTAAAAGCTAGAAAGTTGTGTTCCAAAGAGTGTACAGTCTCACTTTTTATGTTTTTTTTTTTTTTTGTACAGTTTAGTTCCCCCAGGCTGTTTATTACTGTCGTCATTCAGTTTATGTGACCGTGACTCGAATCAACCGGCCATGATAACCAGCCAACCGGCGTGTGTAAAGTGTACAAATTGATTGAATTATACAACTAGAAATCCCTCTGAGAAGGGCTCGACTGTACATGCTTCGGTTTCTCTGTCCAGATAGTATGTTGCAATCAACGGCTGTACAGATTGTTGTTTTTTGTTGCCCAAAGAAAGTGCTTTGTAATTTTTTTTATTTTTTATTCATTAACCTTGTTCATATTTTTTTTTTTAGAAATTAAGTTTAATTTCAAAATCCGACCATTTTTCTTCGCCTTTCTCTCTCCACTGAAAAAAAACCTCCAACTTGTTTGAAAGCTTGCTGCGTGCAATTGAATGTTGACATCCTTGTGTTGAGGAAATGTTATGTAATTCGTAAAAGAATAAAATAATCCCTCCCGAAATAAAGTGATGTTTGACTAAAGTGTCTGAACACAGAAAAGAAGACACTTGAATCTGTCCAACCACGGTTCAAAATTTCAAATTCTGGATGCTAGTTCAGAACAACATTTTGCTGAAGAACGGAATACAGCTCTCTCAACATAGGGCTGTATCTTTATTTAAAAAAAAAAATATTTTGAAAGCTGTACAACTTTGAAACGTACTGCTCTTATAATCAAACTGTGATCTTACCACAAAAATAACAAGCCTATCTCATTTTTTTATATGTGCTTTTTGAAAGCTTAGTAGTCCATTTTTTTTTTTTTTTTAAATGTTGATTTTTTTTTTCTGTAAGAGAAGCATACATTGTGATTGTATCTTTTTAATATGCGGGCATTCCTGCACAAAGGATCCCAACCAATGGTTGTAATGTGTACAGATTTCACCAATGAGATACAGTATGTAGAAACAGTGAGGATAATTTAAAAGTATTGTAACTAAATGTTGATGTAAAGATAACATTAAAATAAACAAAAAAAAAAGGTTGATCCAAAAAACTTTAAACGGCATGGAAACAAAACAATTCTTAGTCATTAGTGTAACATTTTTAACAACAGCCAAACAGTGTGAGAAAACCTGTGAGAGAAGGCGAGACATGGAGGAATGGGAATTAATAAATATGGCAAGTTTTGGAATATTTAGCAGTGACAGGTCACAAACTTGAAAATGCCAAGAAATCCGACTCGAGCTAGTGTTTCCAAAAATCAGCCATTGACACTTTTAATCAAGATTGATATCGATAACTGTACACAAAAAAATGACAGAAATCTTTGGTTTGTGATGAAAACCGGTGAGTTTTTGTTTGTTTTGTAATCTGTGAAATCTCCTGGATCTGTAGACCTTTAGAAACGTCACCCGTAGAATTTTGTCACACTGCTTACCGGGTACCAGTGATGTCTGGTACCCTGTATCATTTACACGGTTCTGAATGGCTGATTTCTATCAGTCTAATCATCGTTGGTGTCTTGGAGTTGAAGGAAAGCGTATACCGGTGTGATAAAATTCTCTATATCTCAGTGTATTGTAATTCACCGGAGTGAATATCACTTCCATCTGGACTTCCTCTGTTTTGGGATATAAACGAACCATCTGTCATGGATAAATAAAAAGACTAGCAAAGTAAAGGATCAATGTGATTCGCCCCTCTGCCTTTGTTTCAATCCTTCAACAAACAAAGACACCTTTTGTTGTGATCTGTATTTATATACTATTTGCGTGTCGTGTCTTTGGTTCCTATGATCGCCTGGCAAACAGCCAGGAAAACGTATACATACTGTAAAAACAAAATGAAAATTGGTCAAAATGATGAGCACTTTGTTTTGGCCACTGTGCCAGAACCTACATTATTTTTATCTACATAGAAAAAAAGCCCTGCTCGTGTTTAAAGTGTCACACAATTGCCTGAGCCTATGGTACATAACTGGAATTTTACGATGCCAATAGCAAGCGAGAATTTGCAAGTAGAGACAAAAATAACCTGAAAACACTTTAATCACTTTACTGCTGCCTTTCCATAAGCACATTTTCAGTTCACATTCAGCGTGTTCAATTACTCCCCCCGAGCTTACTCGTGCAAACGCGACTGCGTTCGATTTACCTCTCACATGACTTCTCGTGCTTAATCGAGCCTGGCCCAAGTAACCGACCCGCTGAGCCGGTTACTTGGGTAGGTATCCCACTAGTTTGAAAAACTCCAGTTCCAATGCTCATCGGGAATTCGACATAAAGATGCAAATTCCCGATGAGCATTGGAGCTGGAGTTTCTCAAACCAGTATCCCACAATACAATGCAAAAACATGGCGGCTAACGTGAAGTCTAATGCTACGGTGGTGGGAGATTCAAAAGTGTCTCAGCTTCACTTCACACTAGTACTAAACGACGGGAGGAAAGTTAAGTTAATTTTAAACATACCCGGCATTTCTTGTTCGCTTTTGGAGAGCACATACAGTGGCCACTGTGGCTTGCTTTCGACAGCTCGAATCCACTTTGTAGTGGCATAAATCTGTGCCGGCGAGTGGGTGGGGATGGGGGATGGCACATTTTAAAAGCTTTGGTACTTTGTTTCTCCACTTTTCAGTTCTGTTGAATACATTTTGGTTGTAGGGATTTTCGAAAAATACCTTGAAATTCGCATGTTTTTTTTCTCATCACGAAAAAGTGGGGATGATTCAATAGCCCATCCCCCCCCCCCCCCCCCCCGGATTTCGCCCATGCCAATTTGCAGAGGGCATTTAATTGACACATGACCCCTGGTTGCTATTATGGCTTGACTTCGCGTAAACCAAGATTATTCGTTTATTGCTACAGATTGCGCATGTGCATCTAGCCATACCCAAGATGAAAGTATGGGTAAGCGCAAGGGAAGTTATCGAACACGGTGAATAATTGTGTTGCTCGGCGTGTTCCAAGCTGTAGGCCAGACTAAGCGATGGTCACAAAATGGACTGGAAACATGTACATGGAAATGCGGCTTAGTCAGAATAGACCCTGAGCTTAAACGGGGGAGAAGCCATCTTAAATTTTCCCACAAGTTTTGGAAAGAGTCTGGTGCCAGTGATGTGGTAACTCTCTTCATAGCAATCTGCACAGTGCTCTCGGGGCACCTGACAAAAGATGCTTATGGTGTTGTAATAAAAAATGCCTTGCTTTAAATCCCCCAAAAATATTGAGCATTATTATTTTGTGGAAGTACACTATTTGTGTGTGTGTGTGTTTCGTTTTAAGCATTAAATTTAGTCCATCTATGCATGGAACTATTTGTTGGTGATGATAATTTGTAGATTTCAAGCTGACCTGAAAATATAACTGTATATTTACAAATCATATCTGTGTTGAACATAATTTTTTTTTAAAATACAGCCCATTATTGTCCTTGAGAGGAGAGGAACCTAACCTTCAATTAATGGTTTTGAATGTCCAAAAATAACAAGAAAATGGCCAAAAATAACCACCACGCCTGTAGCCCAAATTGTGGTTTACCTGCTGAAAAGAGGAAGAAAAACACACAAAGGTACAGCAAAGGCAACTAGGATCATTTGCTTTTCATGCAGTTATTTAGTTTCCCTTATTCAAGGAAGAATGTAAAACCTAACCTGTTCAAGGTTTACTCTTGTCAAGAAAACAATGAAAAACGCTGCACAACCTTTTGATCACGAAACACAATTTCGTTGAAAGCACTCTTTATTTCCAAAAATCAGTCAATTGACTGATCGTTGGAAATCACCTACATTTCTTGATTTCTTCTAAATGACAGCAAGCCAGACGGAATAATGTCACAGGGTGTTTAGAACCAGTACGATCTTTAATCCAAGTAAGCTTTTTTGATAAATAATTCGCTAGGTTACTTTTGGGATAAATGCAAATGATCCTTTAAGCCTTTAGGTTTCAGAAAAGCTAAAAGTTTACTTCAAAAACTTGTGTACTTATTTGGTGATGGAAAATCAATTTGCCCTTTTCCAACTTGAGCAGAAGACTTACTGAAGCTTTTTTCTGGTCTTCTTTCTTTCATATGTTGACCACCAAAGTAAGAAGAAAAGTGAAAGTGCAATATTATAAATTGTACTGCTGTAAATGTATTTATTCCGTAAAAGAAAACAAACTTGAAGTTTAAATACGTTGAATACAACAACAGCCCTGTTCGAATGAAAAAAATCCTCAAGATCCACTTTTTGAAGCTGTTGAATTTCAAAAATCGGATAATTAAATGTTTAAATGTACGGCATGAAGTTTCAGTGAAGTAATTTCGAGTTACTGCTAACTTTACATTGATAACCCATCTGTATTTTTGAACTTTGGAAATTCAAATTGGAAATGTCTCTTTCCATGCCTCTGCTATGTGACCATAATATGCAATTTTTGCAGACCAATGTGACATGGTCTCTTATAGTTGGTTCACAAATGACTCCACTGATAGAGCTAAACAGCGCCCTCTTGTGACCAGTCATTCCTGTTTGGCCAAAGTAGTTGTAGATATAAAACAAGATGTACAACTTCAAAGATACACTTAAATTTTCCCCCAGAACTGTTGCGGCCCTTAGGAAAGCCATTTTCAATTGCACTAATCTCAAAAAATAATTCATTTACTAAGTTGAAACGTTTGATAAAGAACCTGGTGGAAAAAAAATAGAAAATTCAGATATGAATGGAACAAAGATGTGGATAAATTTTGTCATTCGTGTTGACTTTTTTCCAATGTGTTGGCCGGGCTAGTATTATTGTGTTTGCATGCTTGTAAACTAGTTCTCGTTGAGCAGAAATATTTTTGTGCGTTTATTTCCCCCTCCTATTTTTATTTATGAACCAGAGTTGGGATAATGTGCTCAATGGAGCTACATGTACTATGTTGTGACTGGTCAGTTCAGGATGTATCACCATATAATTATCACAGTCTCTGTCCGTGACTGTGCGATACAGCATAGTGCACATTGTAAAGAGTGGTTGCTTTTTCTGGTCAGGTTTGTTTAATCGTTGGTATTCATGTAAGAAAATCCCAAACAAAAACCTGAGTTTATAGGGCAATCGAAGATGTTAACAATCATCGAAAATTGTCTCCGCAATGCTGACGTTATCTGTAATAGCGTGTTTTTAATTTTTAATTTTTTTTTTTATTATATAGGCAAGATGAAAAACTGTCAAACTTAGTAACAAAGTGACCATGTTTCACTTAACACACAGAATTTCTGTATTTGGGAAGTTGACACTTCTACTTGTGACATGTTCTGATCCGGCACTTTACTTCAGAAGTCCTGTTAGGGTTTTTGATGTGACGGTCAGGACTCATTTTTTTTTATTGGAGGGCTTTTCCATTTTGTTCCGTCTTCAAAGTTGTATTTAATTGAACCATACTGTAAATATTGTTGGGTTATACCTTGATATTTGAATCACGAAAGAGAAAGTAGCCTGCAGTAGCCACTCGCAATCTGTTGGGCTGTGTGACTTGTACAGCATAGAGCATATTAGGATAAAACCAGGCTACAGCAAGAAATAATTAGATGTGTTTTTTTTGTTTGTTATAATTTGTCTTTTTTCAGACTTTGCATTGAAGTCACAAATCTTTGTACGTAGGGTAACCCAATTTTATTGTTTATCATTTTTTTTTTCAATTCATAATCATCAACATAAAAAATAACTGGATGTTCACTGACCAAAATAAAGTGCGAGAATGAAAAATCATTGAAAGCCGTCTGTCCTTTATCATTTCTCCGTCTCTGAAGTGTACATTTACTTTCCCAAATTTTCATCTTGGTTTTTGTTATGGTTTTATAAAAGCACCCCCCCCCCGAAAAAAGAGAGAGTTAGAAGAGGCTCCTAAAAGCACTGTGCTGTCTGCCTGGCACTCATGCAAAAACAAAATATGTTTATGCACAAAAGTCCACTTGGGCATATCCCAGCAAAACAAATGCATTGCCATTTAAGATGGCTGCTATGCAATAATGTCTGGAGTGCTGTGGCCTTGTGGTTAAGGGCACTGGATTCGTGGTCTGGGGGTAAAGCTGCAGGTCGTGGGTTCGAGTCCAGCCGGGGTCATGGTGCGTGTGCCCTTGAGCAAGGCACTTTGTCACTCATTGCTGCTCTCCACCCAGGAGTAAATGGGTACCTGTGAGGGCAGCGATGGTTAGTGATTGAATTAGCTTGCTTGCGCCTAACAGGCTGCATCGAGCTTTATACTCCCCAGGGAGCTGAGATGGTATTTGGAATGTTTAATTGGCCCAATGATCAGGGGTAATAATAATGTAAAGCGCTTTGATCTAAGTTTAAAGCGCTATATAAGAACCTATTATTGTTATTACTAAAAGATAAAACACCTCTAGTGATGACATGGTACCAAATGCCCAGCACAGTGTGCTGTTTGCGCCAAGTAGTGCGCCCTCACATGACATATTCAAATCCGGGTCAAAATCAATGACACAAGGGTGCCACTTTGGCCCAGCAGCAGTAGTCTATTATCAATCAAGCGTGTCCAGGACCAAGACAACCTTGTTCCCAAGACGTCTAGCAGAACGCTCCCACTGCTCTCTGGCACTGGTATTGATTCATTTGAATGTGCAAAAATCTCACACATTAGGTACGGAATAGCCTTTTTCTGGTGTTCGGCCATGCCTTCGATCACTGAATATTTTTGTATGCAGACACGAGATAAGAAAACTTATGATGATTTCAAAGTTTATGTTTAGAATCTTACCCATCCAAAAAGAAAAACCCAGTATAACACTACATTGTAAATGTAAAGGAAATGGGAGGACTGTTTTGAGGTTTGGAGGTAATAATCAAAGCATGTAAATACACGGAAATAAAATCACCATTACTGGCTGTTGTGGGACTGAATCAGAAAGGGAGAAAGTTACCCTCCTAAGGTTACTATTATCTCAAGGTTGACCTAAATCTGTTTGCTGGAAGTAGATTGTCCTGATCAGTCTGTGAAGCTGGTCCCTCCAACCAAGTTCTTCTATTACCATTGTAACCCGTCCTAATGAATTCTTATATTCACAACAAACCCCCTGTCTGAACCTTGGTCTTTGGTCAGGAAACTTTTCCGTTATCTGCCTGGAAGACATTTGGGAAAGAATGTTGCAACCTGATGCCACTTTTTTGTCTTTATACTCATCTCAATGAAGGCGAGTCTTTTGCAAAAATGTTAAAGAGACATGAATCTGGAACTGAGAAACATTTCCAATTTTGTTACGAATGCTTGACTCTTCATAGACTTTGTACACAACCGCTGAAGTGGCGTCTGGATACTACCGTACAGTGTTTCCGACATTTGATTTAAAGTGACGTGCCAGTCGAAAAACATTAATAAATAAATTCAAACGGAGACACTTCCATCAAGAAACCAGCAATTAATTTATTCAATAAAAGACTGGAAAAATCTCAAATGCAACCCCCAAAATCCCCAATTCACCAATTTCTCTGAAGTTTAAACGCTTGGAAAAAAACCATACTTTTCATATCTAGCCTAAATAGTTCCGCTGACTTGTACAAATGTAAATATCATCTATAACTACTGCGTAAAAACAAAGGCAATCAATTGAACGTTACAGTTTATCTACTTGTTTACTGTAAGTTTAACCATTCAAAACGATACCACTTATTAATGAGTTGTTTGCATAACATTCTAAATCTATAGTATGCAGCAAATGCATAAAAATGTAATCTTTAAAGTCAAGAAAGAAAAATATGGAATCAATCATGTTGGATAAACTTTTCAAATGAACCCAAATTTACAGAGATTAGCAAAGATAACCTTTGAACCATTAAGATAATCCCGGAATCACAGGAAACTGAAAGACAAAAATCAAACTCGCTGACTAAATATACACATACACACAAATTTCAAAACTTAAAAACAATCAAATCAAGATAAGTACACAGTAAGACTTTGTCAGAGCATTGCAAAAACAAATACTCCAAAAATGAAATTACCCAGATAAATGTTGACAAAAATAAGAGAAAGAAGTAATATCTTTCATTTTGTGATTTGCACGCTAATGGAATGTGAAATACTAAGACACTTTCTTTGCAGATCTGATATAAAAAGATTCAGTTTTACATTTCTACATATTGAAATTGCTTAACAGTCTGGAGTATGAAATATTGCATGCAAAAAAAGTTATTTGGGGAAAAAATTCTCAAATCCCGAAGAAAGCAATTATCGGAGTGGAAGTGTATCTTGTCAAGAAAAAGCAAACGATTCTAAACTGCATGAAGTTGCAATGCATCCGCTATACAGATATAGTTATTTTTATTGGAAAATTCATTTTAAAGCATTTTTTAGGTTTTTTCCCCTAAGCTTGGCAGAACTTGCAGTAGAGATCAAACTGCTTAATAACATCTGGTAGGCGAGATCCCGCCCAACAGCACGCTCAAGAGTTGTAAACAAATCAAATATAACAACAATAAATTACTGAGGTTGTAAACAAAATCAAATTCCAAGAAAATAAAGACATATTTCATCAGCAATCATTATAAGGCCCCTGTACAAACTCCCTCTAATCATCATCACACCACCAATTATAGATATTCAACATTTTGTACAAAAAATTTCAATTATTTCAAATTTGAGAGGCAAATTCCAACTGCACATATTGAAAAGTCAACATTAAATTGTAATTCTTCAACTGGAATTTAAAAAAAATTCCTCCATTAAAAAAGAAAAAATTCTAGGCACTCCCCTGATTATACATTATGATCTCATTGAAAATAAATTCATCAACTAATCCATGGAATGTCACAAGATACCAGTGGAATTCAGCGGGTTTTGGGAGAGAAATCGTAGGCCATGGGATTACGCAATGATGCACTTCAACCACATGACCAAATCACATGACCAAATAAGAACCCAGCAATGCTATTTATATCCACGAATTTTCACCCCTTCCCATCTAAGGACGCTTTCTAATTGAAGGCACTGTATACCATTCGGTTGATTACTGTCGCACATGAGAGCCAGAAAAGCCATTCTGACAGGACGCCTATGTGTTGGCCAACAATTTCAATGTCAGAGTGCAACGTCAACTCTACGCTAGAGAATCCACGATGTCTTGCTTAATATCCTTGCATATACACTCACTTTTACTTACAGTTGCTTGTACATTCATGACTACGTGCGTCACCATAGTGCATATCTTTGTCCACTTAAACTTCAAACAAAGGCAATTGCCCCTTCCCCGTGCACCCAAATGTAAATTCCCAAAATTCAAATCAGAGGACAAATATCATCCATGTTACAGCGCATTTTAAGATAAAACCATAAAATGCAAGTATTTTTGTGTGTGCCCTTCAATCAAGAAGACAGTGAACTTTTCCTTGATCATAAATTTAAGAGATGGATCTCTGATATGAAATTGTTGGCACTAGAGTTGGCGTCTGTCCATGCACCTATCCGAAGATTCTCAATGTGTGACGATTATCGACCATGACAGGAAACATCAATTCAATAGAACATTACACAAACCCCTTCACAAAAGACCAAATGGGAACAAAATATTGACATAATCATTTACAATATTCTATATAAAATTTAAATATTTGTTTATCTCCATATTTTTTTTTTTTCACAGGCTAAGTTAGGTCTTACAGAGTACTGCGTTTATTTCTGGGGCAAACGTTTAGTTTTGGGGCAAACTGTTTTCCCAATACCAGTTTTATTAAACGATTTCTCTACTGGCAAATTCAATTTTTTTTTTGGTTCTCCAAATTACATTAAGTGGAGAGACTATATGATACACGCCCTCAGATATTTACACATTTACACAATATTGCTGTAGGCTTACAAATAATAAACTATATGCATGGTACCCCAACTGGTCTTGCATTACAGGAACAATTAACCTTACCACATATAAAAAATACTGAACAACGTTTTGTTTTTCAGAATTCAATGTCAAAATGTAGTAAGATAGGAATGTAGATCTCATGGAATCATTTTACTTTAAAACTTGAGGATAAAAAGTAAAACCTTTGTCACATCTTCCTCTTCTATTATTTAAAAAGAAAAGAAAAGGCAACTTTTATATGAAATACGAAATAATACTCTCTTTTAATCTCAATAGTATTACTTAGATTTTGCCAGAGTACTGTTGAAATTCTACACGTTTTCAACAAGTAAATTTTGTTCTTTTTTTCTTTTTCAAAGAAAATAATTATGAAAAAACTGTTAAGGATTGGTACTGATTAGAATTGGAACTAATTACCATAACAATAGGCCACTTGGGAATAAAAGGCACCAGCTGTTTACACCAAGTTGACAACTTTATTATGTTGTAAACGTTTTTCAATAAATATATAATTTTTGTCCACTACAAATCTACTGTAATCAAACTACAAAACATATATTACATAATATTTGGAAAAAAAAGATAACATGATCGGAAATCCTTTTACCGTCAAAAATACAAACTCACCAAGTACCATAGTAAAACACCTGGATTTGAGATAACTATAAAATGTAAACATTTTTTTTTTTCATTTTTTTTTTTAAGGGTAAATCTTCCCTTTTAAAAAGCCGAACCAAGCCAGATTTAAAACTGGACAAGAATGGTATTGTCTCTCAGAAAAGGCACATCTGGTATTGCAGGATTGGAACTAACTTTGTGGTCACTTGGAATGAGTAATGTTTCCCATTTCAAGGAGGACACTGAGTCGAATATTGAGATGTAACGAGGCCGTTTCCTCATCAGTCAAGTCTGAAGATGGACATCATCAGCTCCTTGACTTCTTAATAAGATTTATTCATATCAGTTAAGTGCAGATATCAATCAAACCAGATATCACATTGCCATATTTAGTACTTGATTTCTCAATTTTCTTTTTAAATTAATATGGAGTAAATTGGCATCAATTTTTTTTTTTTAACGGGCAAGAAACAGTCACCAATTTTGTGGGCAAAATGACAATAGATGGCATCGTTAACCTCTAACTGTTGAACTCCTGTACCAAAGAGAATTTTGATGGTCACTATCGACTCAATTTACAAATTGTTTTTGGTCATTGCTTTCAAAGTTTTAAAATAGTACTTTTATGCATTTATTTTGAAGCAGATATGGTATTTTTTAAAATAAATGTAAGAGGTTCAGAAACTTCACACAAACCCCACCTCACTTCCTTTTAATCAGGGAAAGTATACAACAAGAGCATTTCTTCGCTTGCGCTCAACTTAGATAACTGTCATTTTCAATGATTGTACACTTACTGAGCGAGGTCTGATTTCCCTGGCCTTATGTTCTAGTACCTTATGAACTAATTGCACAGTGCCAACCAGGTAATACCTTGGCACACAATCCAAATTATGACACATTGTCATATCAGTTAAAAAATAGATTGGCATTGAAAGTTCGAGGTCTGTCAAGTCGACGAAAGAAACAGGTATCATGACCCAAGCAAGCCCCTCCCCCCCCCCCCCACAAGTTATCTTTATATTCGGAAGGTTAATACACGTAATCGGAATTTAGTTTGACAGCTGCAATGGATATTTCCTGTCTTGTCCGAGCTCTTAGTGGGGGGTAATGAGTGGTGACGCCATCTTGTGCATTAATTGTGATCCCGCGCACCACTCATCAAGCCCGACATGTCCGTTGCGTTATCAAGACGGGAGGTAGAAGCACGGAAGGAGCCCACAAAAAGGAGCAGAGTAAAATGATGGTCATGATGGATCGGTGTCCCCGTCAATCCCCATCCGCCCAATTTATACCGGATCCAGTTATACAAACAGAGAGCCCTTATTTGTTAGTACTTTTTTTTTTTTTAAAAGAGGGAGCGGGTGGATATTTTAACAGCATGTTTTTATTTGCAAGTACGCATGTACACACGCAGTGAGTATTATTACCGGTGAGTTGCTTTCTTTCTAATGAACTTTTTCACAAACAACACAAACGTCAACGACAAAGAAACGGTAAGACATATCAAATGTGACGAAGTTGTAAGGTGCTGCAGCTGAACAAAATTGCACCGTTGTTGCAAACCTTAAACAAAATCACCGATTTAAAATAAAAAAATCAACCCCTCCTTCTCCCCCCCCCCCCCCCCCTGCTCTCCCTGATTGAGTTTCACGGCTGTATTGCGGCCCGTTCTAAGAATATTACTTGAATGAGAGAATCCACCTGTTACTAATCATCTGTTGGGTTCTCACGTCATCCCAACAATAGACTCAGGCCATCAGGATGAGGCAATTAAGCGTTTCACGGACTGGAATGATGAGCAGTGGACATAATATTCACAGAAATCCACACACGTTATTATCATACAATAAAAAAACAGTCTTGTACAAGTTTTAGTACAAGGAGTATAGAGGCACATACGTAGTTCTGGTCGAAATGTATACTATTTCAAATCAACTGGCAATCTTTCGTTTTGTAACAACACACGTACAATTCTTCTCAATCATAAATATATTATGGCACTTGTTAATCCGCATTCATAAATATGGTTTATAATTTTTTTTGTATCAAACGCTTGAGATGCATGCAGCTTATTTAGATATAAAACAGTACTTTTAAAAAATCGTTTTGAGTTGTTTGAATGATCACATTTTATGGAGTTGTATAATGATGACACAAAACGCTTGCAGGGGTCTAGTATCCAAGCTACACACAAGGGTGAACTGCATCCCACAATGTAATAAACACTCTATTCAAATGTGAGTGGCGGAAAATGAAGTTGAGGTTGCCAGCAAGTAAGATGATCAGAGTACATGTACCTGCAGAAACCTAGCATCAGAAGGGCAGTGCATTCTTTCTTGTCTTTGCCCATTTGAGGAGATTACTACTGCTTTTCTTTTCCTTTTTTTAACTCAAGGCCACAGTGTTACAATGGAACCAATGAAGACATGAACACCATATTAATCTTCCCCCTGAATTTGAATATCTTTTCTTTTTTGGTAGCTTTCCCTAAAAATGATTTATGGTTTAGGGTTTAAGACGGAGCATATCTTAAAAAATACTGGCAACAATTTCAATTTGAGGTGTAACACTGGAGTTTACAAACATGAAAATACACCCAAATCCCATGTGTACGGTTAATTAAAACAAATAAAAAGAATTTCACAATCCCACAAAGTCCGAAACAGAGTTGTACAATTTAGATCAATCCCAAGTGAGATTGCTAGTGTTTTTTCTCGCTAACAGGCATCAATGAAGTCGTCGACTCAAAAGTGGGGAAGGGTCCGGCCTGCGACCTTTTTAACCTCTCACCTTTGATCCCAAAACCTCATTCCATCTCCTCCAGACAGTTGGCCGACTTGAAGAACTCGGGCAACAGTTCGTCCTGCTTGCTGATGACTTTGTAGATGGTCTTCTTCCAAGAAGGTTCCGTGTCTTTGCCCGCGTGCACAGCCACAAAGAACTCCCGGAGAGTGTTGGTGGCCACGTTCATGAAGGATTCCGGCACCTGGGGAAGAATTAAACCACAAATTTGAAAGATTAGCGATAAATGAATGAATGTACACTTTTTTCGGGGGGGGGGGAGAGGTGTAGAATATGTACAAAGTAGGTACTGGTATGAATAAAAAGTGTCACATGACATGGTAGTTAAGTACTTTGTAAGTACTTAATTGAAAAAATATAAAAGGGCAATATGAACAACTTTTCAACAATTGAATGACTGCACCAGTGTTCTACAGACTGAGCTATTTACATCATGTCGGCAACCTCCCAATTTATCAATGGCTTCGTTTTGGGAGCAAAATGTTCAAATGTTCACAAGTGTATCATAAGATCAATGTATTATTGATGAGGTTTCAGGGGAGGTGATAGCACAAGGCAGGGGAGAGGGGGGGGGTGGTACCTTTGTTTTCTCATAATGTAAGAGGATATGGACCTCTAGGACAGTTTAACAGTGGCTTGTCTTCAGAATATTAGTCCGGAAATTGGGCCAAGGAGGGGGGAGGGGAGAAACTAGTTCTACATATAGCTATCCCCTATTTAACGATTATCTGGCACTTATTTCCTGATTACACCACCTGTTGGATGGACAGTGCAGATATAAATAAAGTGGCAAGAATTTTGCCGACAGCTGACATTGGAAAGGCTTGTGACATATAGCCATGATACACGATCATTAGAGTGTTTGAGAATTAAGAAGGGGTACAACATTTCTATATGCATGATTAGGAAAAGTGTGTAAATGTCAATGAACACTATGCATATAGATAGAGTCAATCATGCATATCAATTACATGTAAATAGGATGCACATGTGGGCTATGGTACAGTTGAAAACCTTGACACAATCGAACAAAACAAAGTCGCAAAGTGTAAAGTCATTCTATCGCTCTTGTGCAATTTCTCTTTTCATAAAACTTGTAAAAGAATGTACCAGTAAGACGAGCAACACAAACAAACAAAAACTTTTGCAAATTCCTTTGGACAGAAGTGGGTGAATCACTACATTGGAATATTCAGAGTATTGCAACAAAACACTTCATATTACAGCACACCACAAGGGGAAAAAAACAGTCACTTCCCCTTTCGACAATGGCTTCGTACCGTCTTGTGACCGGCCCGCCAATACTCAAACAATGCTGCCCAGGAAGAAACAAAAGAAGTCAACAGGAAAAAGACGGCCTTGAAGTATGGTTTCATTTCTGGCTTTGGAACACTACAAACCCAATACCAAGAAACCACCTTTTTAGAGATCAAATAAAAGCCACGGCAACAGATGTAAGCTGAATTGGGCAATAACACAACCGCCACAAGAAGTAATTACTGGCAAAGACGATGACTAAAAAAAAAAAAATTACAAGTGGTCGTAAAAAAAAAATGGAAGTGGCCTTCACTTGGAAGAATAGCTGCACCTTGAAATAGTGCAAGCAGGAGGCAGGCCAATTAGAGAGGAAATCAACGGGCGTCTGGATCAAAGGCAACTAGCAGTAAGGGATGTGGCAGAAATCACAAAAAAACTAAGGACACTGAGCATTTTTTTTTTTACCTACAAATCGTAGGTGCTTAATGGGCATTGCGCACAAGTCGTGACAAGAGGCGTTTATAGTGCAAGGAAGGATTAAAGTACAAGCGACCTCCGTTGCTCAACGCGAGCTGATGGTGGCGAGACCCCAGCGGTGAAGGCAAGGCCCAATGATGACTTGACAACTTCCTGATTACATGGTCTTGAATTAGAATGGACCAAGAGGCTAGGCCGACTAAATAATGCAATGGGTGTTTTAGGCTCGGTGGATAGATAGCCAGCGGTAATTGCAACTGCGTGCTTCTGTCTTAAGGAGTCTCATGATTGATAGCCGCTCGCGCTGCTTTTCGTGTTTTTTGTTTTGTTTTGTAATTTCTCTCTCTCTTTCAAGGTAATCAGGTTCTAGCGTCATGGAATCTTCCCGACCTATACCAAACGGGTGACCTTGGTCTCTTCTGCTGATTCCTGCAAAAAAAGTGCAAGCAACTCGACCCCTTGAAAAGAAAAAAAAGGGAATCAAGTCAAATCGCTTGGCCACAAAAAATACCAAACAAGAAACACATACAATGGTGCCCACACCTGTACGCTCCTTTCAATTTCATATCAAATATCGCTACAATTGCGCTTTCATCATTTTGGATTCTCTGGATCAGGACAACGGAGAGTTCTTAGAATGACTTAAGCCTGCACAGCATTGGTGACATCCTGTCTAGAGATTGATATTAAGACTAGGTAATATAACCAAGTCACGCAGCAAGACTGCCGACTAATCCCCGGTGTGCGTCCAATCAGAAAAGAAATGCTCTCCTTTTTTAACGACTCACGCGATCTGGATAATCTCGGGTAAATGTTAGGACCTTTTGTTGGGGCCTCAATTTCAGGGGGAGTTTTTTTTTGTGTCCTCAATGTGGCAGAGTGATAGATTGTGCTTTGACTAAGCTATGTTTGAAGCACTGATCTGAGCCATTTTTGTAAATACTGGTAGTGGCAAAAATCCGTGTTGGTGAGTGGGGGGGGGGGGGGGGGGATGGATTACCAAAAATCCTTAACTTGCCTGGCAGTGGAAAACGAAAAAACGAGGGGGTTGGAGAGGGGGGGGGGGGGGGGGGGGAGGGAGGGGGGGGGGGCCTGGGGCTGGACAACACATTACTAAACAATGTACATCTTATTCAAACGTGTGCACTAATCGCAAAATGGTGTATGTTAAGCTACATGTACGTAATACATTTGGAGAATTTCAAAGTTACTAAATAAACTTAAAATCAGCATTTATTTGTTTCTCATCATGAAAATCGCGGGGGGGGGGGGGGTTGATCCTATGGCCCCCCCCCCCCCGGTCAAAAAGGGAGGGGATATACATGCACATGTATCATCCCCTCCCCCTCCCCAGGATTTACGCCCTTGCTTGCCACATCTAGCAATAGATAATATCCAAAATGAGAACAATTGATATTTAGTTGGACTGCCACGCACGATCTTCAGAACAAAAACAAGGTTTTTGTTTCAACAATGTGAACAGGAAAACGGTCTGTAATGCACACCCTCCCCGTTTTACTTTTTAAATCCTTTCCTCCTTTGCCTCCGTTCCTTGCTGCATGTACATCTCACTTACTAAGTTCATGGAAACCAAGAAGTTAGTCAGGACCCAAAAATGAACCAATTCTTTGAAAGGATATTGAAACCAGCTATCATAAAAAAACAAGAAATGAAAATCATTTTCATACCAAAATACCCAAGTGAAATGCACAACTGCATCAATTGACCCAGTCTACGAACCCTGCCAGTAAGTTGTGGGCCCCAATTGTAAAACCCCGACAACGATAACAAGTTTTGTATTGAAGTCAGGCCTAGGGGTAAGCCTTGATACCCTAGTGGCACTTCTTTGCATGGGATTACGACCATCCCACAATACGGCCCAGAAGCTTTTGTACTCCTGGTTGCTTAGCAGTCCGTGGATCCGCTTCGCCTGAGGCTAACCCAGGGTGTTGGTTTCACCCACACCTCCGACATGGTATTTGCTGTGAAGCACTGGAAAATATATTTACTGAGCGAGTATTTAGTTTTGTTTTGATGTCATGGCTAATTACTGATACGTTAATGGAAATTTCTGATGAGAGATATTCTCATTTGATAATTTGTTTCATTTTCTGATGTCATCCTTTCCTTATCTTCGTCTTTCATGGGCAAAGCAGTACGTTATTATTCACTCTTTACTCAACAAGCTGCTGATAACATGATTTCATTAAGGCAAACAAGCTGATGATAACATGATTTCATTAAGGCATACAGGATCTTTGCGTTTCATGCATTTTGTTTGTTTCAAATAAAATATTGTTCATTTCCAGATTTCAGCTCAGTGAATATTACACTTTTCGGAAAAAAAGTGAAAAACCATGCACAACCGTTTGAACCCAAAACACAAATTCGTCCAAAGCACTCTGTATTTCCAAAAATCAGTCAATTGACTGATCATTGGAAATCACCTACATTTCTCAATTTCTTCTAAATGACAGCAAGCCAGACGGATTATTTTCACTGGGTGTTTAGTACTGCAGTACAATCTTTCATCCAAGTAAACTTTTTGATAATAATTTGGTAGGTTACTTTTGGGATAAATGCAAATGATGCCTTTAAATAACTTTTCAACCCTGGTGTTCAGGTTTTCAGTAAACAATGTCTACACATCGCTTTACCTACATGTGTACTTGTGTGCGTACGATTAAACAAAATCAAGAGAGCGAATGGAAAAACCACAAAAGACCCAGACTCAACAGAATTAATTAAATAACTTATGAAACGACGGAATTTTCAGCAACTACATCAACAAACTATGGACCAAAATAGGACAGATACAAGTGCACTTGGCGTTACAAAGAAACAAGCACGGTTCTGCATAACTAGGAACCAGCGGGGCAGTTTAGAGGAACAACATGTTTGTCAACGTCGACTCTCCCAAACCACCTTAGACTTTGAATTGGCGCGAACAAAATGCACTTTCAGAAATGCAGGGTCGGTGGAGTATGACGGGGATATGGTATTATATTATTTTTTTGTTGTTAAGCGGATGGAACTCAGACAGACTGGAGACACCAACTCAAAAAGACAGGCACTGCTTGACCTTGCCGACAAAGGAGTCGTGACTAGCAGAGGGAATCGAAAGGCATCTTTTCTAATACGGGGAGATTATCGATGAGATCTTTTGTGTGGAGCGGGTAGGAGATGCGATACAATTTGCAAGGACGACGAACCAATGACTACACGAGACAGTCATATCTACATGACAAAGTGAACGACCAAAAAAAAAAATCCTTGCAGATGTTCTCTTGCAAGTGTTCGTTTTCGTGACTTCTTGCTCATTTTGGGGAGGAGCAGAAAGGTCAGTTTCTTGAACAAAATTGTTCACCTCAGTTGAACCACTTTGGGGAAAAGACATTCAACAAAAACAGGCAGGGGCATCTAACAGGGTTATATTCACAGTAACTGAATTGTTTACGAAATAGTTTCTCTCATGACAGCAATGTTTAGTTAATTTTGAGACTGCTTTGCCATTTTTGTCCTCAAATCATTTACAACAAATTATTTTGGCTGTAGTGTAAGCTCCTTCACTCAATCCTAAAAACACTGGGAGCTCAGCATGGGAAACATTAAAGAATCATAAACACTGCAAAACTTCACATAAAAAAGCCGACCAATTTTTGAAAGTAGATAATAATAGGCATCACAATCCAACAGGAAATGTACAACACAGATTAAAAAAAACATGCAAAGAGCTGTTGGGGGAAAGTTGGCCCATGCGTGGGGTAAAGTGAGTTGGCTTCATTTGGCTGGCAAAGCAACTGCCGAGCCATGCAGGCACTCAAGTGTTCAGAAGCACTCCAATGAAAGTGTTTATTCCCCTTTACCCTGACTGTCGGCAACAAACTTTGTAAGGAATATTTCTGCACCACTAGACATGCTCTCGGCCAAACAGCCGCGAGTGTCTTTGTGATATAAGAGTTCTACCCCCTATTCTCCCCCCCCCCCCCAAACTATTTTTTGTTTGTTTGAGAAATATCTCACACGAATCTTTGGCACTGATTCAAAGTTCAGCTACTAGAAGCTACTTGGACTTAAGTAACCAAACTCTTCTGAAGGGAATTTTGTTCTGTATAAATATTCAGCTTCCTTTCTTCTTTTCAAGGTTTCTTCAATTTTTTTTTTTGGGGGGGGGCGGCTGGGGGTGGGGGGGAGGCAGAAATTATGACATTGATGCATAACGAACTCAGTAAATTCAATGGTTGGGCAATTTCTATGTAGCGGTTGTGCTCCAATGCTGAAGCTGCCTGGGGGCAATAACAATACAATAAAATATATAATCAAATTTGATGAACCCGGCTTTAGCTTGAGAATTTTCCCTCAAAAATACATTAAAGAGTCGTTAACATTTGGAGCGGAATGGAAAATGGTAAAATGTACGTGGCAGGTGGTTACCAGCAAAAGGACAAAAAGGAAAGAAAAACAGAATCAATCGAACAACCACCGAAAGAAATGCACCTCATGTAAGTTAGCAGCAACATTGATGGTATTGGTAGATTCTGTTACACTGTACACAAAATACTGTCGACAGAAGCAGTTGGGGACAATATGACATAACCAAATCATTTAATCAACCTCTCCAGTGATGTATGAAAATATATGATTCATAGAGATACATGTATTATAGCTGAAGCTGGGTAGCATTAAACTCATGGTTGATCAGGAAACAGTGCACATTTCTCAACCATTGCATCACGTATTAAGAGAAGGTCTCCTTAAGATTACTCTGTCACTGTAAGCATGGTATTGTTGAGAAAAAAAAATTGTCCACAACTTCTTAGCCATAATGTGTGACAAGTTGACACCACATGGGAGTCCAGTTGAAAAACAAACTTTTGAAGTGAAATTTTAAAAAATAATCCATTTCCTTTTTCTCCCAACATCTTCAGGCTTATACATGTACATGTACCAGGACCATCACTGCTAAATGAAGTACAAGTATGATAAACTTTTCAAAACTCCAATATTTAAAAATGTTTTTTCCTGCATTTTTTTCCTGTTGATCAATGGACAATAAAACAAAATCAGTAATACTCCAATTAACCAATTTCACTGCTATGTTCACCATACAGAATTGGCTCAACCTGACTGGTATCCCGCCTCGACTGGTTCACGGCTGATTTGACACATTAACAACCCCCCCCCCCCAAAAAAAAAATGTGTTCAGCACTACTTCAACTCAGCAGTTCAAAGAAATCAAGGCATAAAAATATACATGTACAGTGGAGAACCGAGATATGACACAGCGCATTCATGCTTTGCACCATGCGCACATATGATGCGGAGCACGCATGACCAATTTACACGAATCCGTCGGATGTTTACATCAGCGAAAAACAGCAACTTCACTCAAGTGTACACATCAATAACAGAATGATTGTTGCATTTGAACAAGGAAGGGTGTATGGTTGATGTCCCCCAACGTGGCGCGGCCCCTAACGTGGCACACTTATTTTTCACCTCTAGTGCCTTGCTTCATCACGCTCCAAACATTTCCATTCATAGACCTTGAGTTTACCTAACCGTTACAAAGTTAAGAGGGAAATTTTACATGGGCGCAATTTTCCAATTTAATTTTCAAGCGCGAAGTGAAACCCTTTAAAATGCGCCGAAAAATAAGAGAATAAGTTTCTGACAAACAAGTTGTTGGATATGTGAGTGGAGATAAATAATCGTTTATCGGAATTAGTCAACTTTAAAATAATTCTTTAATGATCACTTGGAAATTTCTGAGATTTGTTCAAGTACGCAACATTAGGGAAGAACTTTTGTTGCCCATATATCCGGATGCCACCGTTTTTGATTTTGGACATTTGGGAAAACACACTGGTTCTGTGCCCAATTGCAGGATGCCACCGTTGTTGAATTTCAGACTCAACTTCATGACACTAAACTTGTTCACAAGGGTTCAACAGCAAGCATTATAAAGTATTAAGGTTTTCATCGACAAAAAGGTTTGGCAACACTGCATCAGGAAAGTCAGGGAAAACGTCGACACATCAGGTGACTCCACTATAGTTATGCACATAGAGGTACACATAGTAAACTACTTCTTCCTGCAAATGTCACCGTGACCACACAAGTAGAGAAATAACTGGCACTCTTACCTTGAACTCATTGCTCTTGTTGTAGTGCATGTTGAGTGTCCTGAAAAGCTCCATGTCTCGGATGACCATCAGGTCTTCACTCTTGTCTACGCCGTCGCTGATCGCCTGACGAGCAAACTTCTCCATCTGGATGTAGTAAAACTCACGGAAGTTGCTGAACCACTGGGGAGAACAACAACAACAACGAAGTCAATAAAGAAACGAACGAAGAAATGGACAAGAGACAAAGTAAAACAAAGTAATTAACCACATAGAAAGCAGACAAATAAAAACTACAGAATAAATGCACTTATCTCTGTCAGCTCGTAAACAAGCTAAACATTTGGATAAAATGTTTTGAAAAAGGACGTTTTTCTTAAGTTGGTTCAGAAGATAGGGACTTTCTACGAAAAAAAATCTCAAAAAATGTTGGTCGTTACAAAATTCACTGATATTGAAATGTGTTCATCCTTTGCAAATTTGCAGCACGAAAACTTGACAGACGTCACGAATTCGTAATTACGTTCGTATTTTGTGCTGAGCATAAACCGGCTGTAAGGAGGTTTTTTTTTACCTTGATGATCTGTGAGGTGTTGTGCCTGTTGAACTTGACATCCGGGAAGTGTTGGCGCAAGAGGGCTGAGCTGGGGTATCGGACGTAGAAGAACATCAGCTTGGCCTTACGAAGATGAGTCGGTGTCAGTGTGGACGTCAGGGAGTGCAACGCAGTCAAGGAAATATATCAGGCTTGGTATTCTTGATAAACATTTCAATGAAACCCTGTTATTTTCATTATTACGTAGAGTAAACAGTACGGACAATCAAATGAGCAAAGAACAAGAGTGACCCAACCCAACAAAATGAGTCACATGTCACCACAGCTACTTTAAGATTAGCCCCATAAACAAGGCCAATTTACCGGACTACCTCCGTAAACATAGGCCACACTTCCACATGTACAAAAACGTGTCGCACTTTGTCAAATTTGATTTTCACATATAGGCTTAGTTTGTAGGTTTTTTTGCTTTAGAAGCATACTTACCCTCTTTATAGGCTAATCAGAAAGTGCTGCCTTTTTCAGATGTCTAATTTTTGTGAAATTTCATGTTGAAATTTCGATACGCAAACGTGTGCAAATGAATCCGGAAATAGACATTTGAAATGGGCAGCACTTTCTGATTAGTCTATAAAGAGGGTGAGTATGCTTCAAAAGCAAAAAAACCCTACAAACTAAGCTTAAATGTGAAAATCAAAATTTGACAAAGTGCGACACGTTTTTGTACATGTGGAAGTGTGGCCTATGTTTACGGAGGCAGTCCAGTAAATTGGCCTCATTTATGGGGCTACAGGTCTTGTACTTTAAGATATATCTTCTTTTTTTCAGAACTTCTATGACTTGAGAAATAGGTAATCAAACTTGTCAAGCCGTTCTATCAATTCACAACATTGTGATTGGCAAATTTGAACAAGGACAGATAAAACACAGATCATGAAAAATAACTCTGAGGGAAAAAAATAACAATTTTGGATCAGTGAAATATACTTCTATATCACTACATGTACATGTATCTGAAGATTAAACAAATGCTGTTCCAGACTATATTAACAAACAAGTAAATACTAAAAGGACATAAAACTGGAGTATGTTTACTTTGCCTAAACTGGACAATAAAAAATATATTAATACACAAAAAAACGGAAGCAAGAAATAAACAAAACAAAAACAACAAAAAGGGAAGATCTATATAATGTCGCGACTCAGGTTGGGAATATATAAATGATTGGAGGAAATGTGGTCAAGGATGACTGAACCAACAGTACACAAACGGTTAAAAAAAAAAACGACACAAGAAAAGCAATCTGCATATGAATAGGCAGGCGATGATTGCCCCATGCAGCTGTTGCACACTTCAAGAACATATGGTTGTCTGGGCACCATTCACATCAAAACACACGATTGGTATCGTCAAAAATGCCACTGTGTGTTGGACTTCTGAATTTTTTTTTTTTTTTCCCAGAACACATAAAATTTCAAAGAAAATAGTTGCTAGAAAAATGATGGAGCCACAGTGTAATGGATAGTGCCACAGTCAATGACGGCCAAAAGTACAGCCGGCCCATTTTGTGCAAGGCACGTCTTTGCAACCGACATTAAGAACTAACCCGATTAATTAATACAAATACTTTAGTTCCCACAAATGAGTCAGGTTTGCCTTTTGCCGGATGAAGGAATTTTGGGGGTACTCGATCAAAAAGCCTCATAAAATCTTGAAGTTGAGCTGATACATCCATTTTCAAGACTTAGATCTATAGAGACATGCAGTAAACGTAATGAAAACTTTGGAGTATAAAATCAAGTTGAAATCGTGTCTTTTGATTTGAAAATAGAAGAAAAAGAATCAACTTGCTTCTTAAGAATTCACGTCTCCGTTTGAATTTAAGCAATTCATAAAGTAAAAGTTATTTATATCTAATCTTTTAGTTTTTGCTTTAGTAATTTTCTGAACATTGAGACTTAGTGAGGACTAATTCAACATTTACTCTGTATGCATTTTGTGAGTTCCTGGTCAATTCACAATCAATGGCCCGGAAATGTGATTTGTCAGGAAATGTAGCCAAGGTGCACTCTCGGCATTATGTTACATTTACCGCTAACATGCCCTCTTTTCCTTCTAGTTCAGGGATATTCTGGGAAGAAAAACGCTTCTCTTAATTTGTAAGCTTTCCCTAATTTCGTAATGACCAGATAAAAAGCTTCATTTTATACATTTATACACGAGGAAATATAAATTTTTCATTAATTATTTTTGTTGTAAACTACATCAATTGAGGTAATCAATCACCAGAGTGCCATATCTGATCGCTCTCCAGGAAATTGGTCGTTCTGCAAGAAGTGCTTCAGGAAATCGCAAATTTATTTCACAGCTTCTGTTCTGAAGTTGCAGTTTTCCATGTACTAGTGGACAGAGTCAAAAGGTTGCAATGCCAGTTCAGATGGCTGAAAGTTGTGAGGGTAATTTAAAAAGAAATCTATTTGAATAAGTTAGAAGAACCACTCTCCAACGTTCAACAGCCCTTCTGATAGTTCTAAACTGCACCCCTCCCCCTTTGAGAAACAACGAAGAAAACCGTGCTCAGAAAGTGCAGTTCACTTAAGCTTGGGCAACAACAAAAAGAAATGCAGAAAAAAAGCCTCTGGTTTTGCCAACACCTGCGATGAATTAAACAGCAGCAATTCATCAATGACCGGTTCTTGCTTTGCCTTTTTTCCCTTCCATTTTTCCTCCTCTTTTTTGAGGGGGGGGGGTGCTTGGAGACTGAGTTGTGGACTGTGATGAGGACGATGGATTTGAATAGACGTTCTTTGTGGGCCAAGGAAGACAATGCGGGATGTGTGAAGAATGGCTGGCGATATGCATGGAAACATCTCAATATCCCGGGCTTGGCCCTGGGGGATTAACTGGCTGTTGCTGATCTCCAACCTAGGCTGATGGGGGAAGGGGGGAAAGCGCCGAAAGCCTAGCAAGATACACGCATCCTCCACCATCTCTTCCCTTGACTGCCTTGCCTGCTTCACTCTCTCTCTCTCTCTCTCTCTCAACCCAAGTCCGACATGTGGTGTGTGCAGTGGCGTCCTCCAGTAATTACCCTACTGCTTTTTACGTCCTGAAAATTGGGCTGCGCTTGCATTTTTTTCCCCCTCTCTTTTATAATTGGACAAGAAAGAGGGAGGACTATGCCAAAATATGGAAAGCGTCTTGTTACTGCCGGAGTTGATTGATTGGCATGGTGTTCTGTATGGGCACCAACCACTCGTAGTAATCTTGCTGCTTTTGTTGCTTAAAAGTTCAATTAATACCAAAGTTCAAGACTGCCGAGGGGACATGCAGGAGTGAATGCACTTTTCTTTCTTTCTTTTTTGGGTCGTTCTGACGTTGTGTTGGGCAGTACTTCAATGTTCAGTGAGTTGACGATAGAAACGCAGATCTACAGACACATATAGCTTGAACAAATTCACAGTTCGGTGCAGCACTTGTCATTTGATGTGGAAGAATGAAACCCAACACACTAAAGAACCGTTCGAAAAGACGTGTTGCATATCCTCGACGCATGGCCATGAACCTTTTTTTTATGACAGCATGTATTGTTCATGCACACACAGTGCGTATGCATTTTTGAATCGCTTCAATGTCTGCACAGAAGTGTGCATGATATCAGTTCTCGTGAGTTTACAGAAACTGTTGTTCGTCGACAATCCAGAATTTTTCCGAGTGAGGTGACATATTTGAAGGTCCATTCCAAAAGAATAATCATTACGAGGTCTTAAATATCAAAGGTCGCTGCAAAGACAAATTATAAAAAAAAAATACAAAAAATCTGCATACAAAAAATGTATGGGTCTGGATTTGATTACATCAATACCTGCACCGGTTTCCAATGAATTGTAAAATGTCGAATCTATTTTTGTTTTGGGAATAATTTTACCAAAAATACACTGGGCCTGTTTTCATAATGAGAATGTTCCCACGGGTAAACCACAGATAGCAGGAAGCAACACATGTGGGTGTAGATGACCAACAAAAACAACACCACCACCCAATGAAAAATATCTCCTCTTCTTACAGAAGGTAAAATACTTGTAGGAACTTAACTTTAAAGGCAATATACAACATTTGCAAACATCAAAAAACAAGGCCATCAAATTATTATGAAATACCTTACTTGACTGTAAGTGAATGATAGTTTCAAGCATTCAGTGAAATCATGGCACCTGGTGTGCTGTCATTTTCAAGAAAAGTGCAGTTTTGTATCAATTTCCAATGATTGTTGGCTGACCATCATTGAAAAAAACCCTGACTTTTTTCAAATACTTGCCCCCCCCCCAATCTACCGAATTTAGTTAGTCCACATTTTGATGGCATTTTTTGTTGGTTTTTCGAGTATCAATCAACACAAAACTGTTAACAGATCAGTGTAGCAATATTTGCTGTAAAATACTAACCCCAAAATCCATCCATTTCTGAAAATTACAGCAAAAGCAAATTACCTTTACGATCTAAAATCGTTCTGAAACAACAAAAATGTTCTAAGGAACCCTTTTTTGTAGCAAATCAACATGTGAAAAATTCTGTAGTGAAAATAGATTGTGACTAATAATAACCAATAACCATAATACAAGTGAATGCATATCGCATACTGTACCAACACAACATAAAAGGAATGAGATTCTGAAGGAGATTTCCAACTTAAAATAAATTCTAAGAAACTGGAATACAAAAAGGTCCAAAGTTTCAATGGATTACTCCCATACTGTCAACACTGATAAAATGGTAAAATGTATCATGTTTAATAGTAAATACAAGTCATTTCTGAAATCATATTTAGGACTGCTGACACAGGTTTTTAAAATGGACCCAATGGCAACAGAATTAGGAAGAGATGATGATTTCATTTTGATGGTTATTTGCAGTCTTACTTGGAAAAATAATAGGGGTATATGTGACTGGATTTCTTCTGTTTCATTTGTCCTGAAACCACGAGTACAAAAAGGCCATTTTCAAAACTACATACAGGATTTTGCGAAAAATACCTTAACTGTGGCAGTTGCGAAAAAAAAATCACATGAATTTGGTGATCGTAAAATGACAACTTGCTTTCACACTGTCACAAAATAGCCACAATTAAGGCCGGATCATACTCCGCGCGAAAGAGAATGCAAACTTGTGCCGTTGGGGGAGTTTTCGCGCTGTGAATTCTCAAAAGTTGAACACATTTCAACTCCGGCGAAATTCGCAGCGAATGCTTTGTGACGTCAAAGTTGCATCGCATTCAAATGAAGTATGAAGTATGAACCGGGCTTTATACAGCATTTCTCAATTTCCATAAAAAGTCACTCTTTGCAAATGTGGTTTGAGACCAAGATATTCTTTACAAATGATCAGTGGGAAGAGACTGAAAAAGGTTCATCACGATGTAATTGTTAATGCATACTGTATGAACTCATTCAAAGCCTGTGATAAGCCTTCTTTAGCCATCCAATAAAAGATGATTCACATTTTCTCTTTCTTTTGTTTGACGTTTTGGGTTGTCACTTTCTTGAAAAGGATATGGTACCGTTTGCCGGTGAGTAGCCAGAGAGATCCGACAGGCCGGGCGATCCCCTGAGGAGAGAGTCACTGTCGTCCGATTTCATGAAGGAATAGGGCAGACTGTCGTTGATGCTATGAGATATATCACCGGTGGTGATGTCCCCGGTGCCGTGGTTCAGCAGTGAGGATTGCTGGGAATGATGGTGACCGAGTTGTGGGCTGTGTGTGTGTGCGTACCTGCGGATCACGGACAGATCAGGAGGATAAGACTAGGACCACATCCAAATTATTTCAACTGTTTTCTGAACCTTGGTCAGCAAACTTTTTTTCTAAAGGTTATTTTTGTCTTTGACTTAAAGATGTGTACCCCATGCTATTTTTGAGTTTCATCCCGAAAATGGATTCCTTTTCTAAATTGCTATTTTTCTGGCACAATACAAGTTATTCACTTTTGAATGAGACATTGATCGACAAAAAAATCAGCCCGTGTTTAGTTATTGAATTATTACTTTACATATTTCTAATTATTGGCTGCCAGACTGATGGGGTAGGCTGGTTCCAGTCCCACAATCAGTATCGATAATGTACGGACCGGGGAGCCAGTCTGCTCGCAAAGTCCACCAGTTTGTGCCAAAAGTGTGCCCAAAGCTAAAACACTTTTCTTTTTTTTTTCTGAAATCCTTACCCAACATAATTATCACTGGAGCCATATTTTCTTTAATAATGCTAATTATGACCCAGGGCTTTGTGCCATAAGTGACCTTCACATCTTAAGATAATGAGATGAACTAGTCACTTTAAAGGAAGATAATAATAATAATAATAACAAAAATTTATATTGCGCTGTTTCCATTTTCTTTTAGTGATCAAAAGCGCATTACATTAAAACAAAAACGTAGACAAAGTGCCGCTATAAAACTTAACTTAAAAAATAAAATTATCCATCCACAATAAAATTATGCAAGAAACAAAGCCCTGTATACAAGTACATGTACTGTACATAACACATGTACGGTGCTACTAATGTGGCTAAATGTAAAACATTACTGAACAGAGTTTAAAAAAAAAAAAAAAGCATAATAAAAATACCAGACGTCTGGATGCACAGCCAATATTTAAATTTTTATACTGGGACTCAATAATTTTTTAATTCTTTTCCCAACCTATGTTTACCATTGTCTTTCTCCCATGTGTCACAAAAATTTACCTCGAGTCATAATTTTGTCTTCTTCTAGAAGTATCCATTTTCATTATATTCGTGATAACTGCTGCCGGAAATGTGTTGAACAAAATAAAATAGTACAAGCAGTTGCTGTAAAGCAGGAATAATTAGCATTTTGAATTTTACGCACAATAAAGTACATTAAAGTACATTACACGAAGCAACTTCTGTTTTGAAAATTGCCTGTTTTGCTTTTCATCATTTAGAGAAACAGAAGATACAATTTACACAAGTCATACTTCCCTTTACTATAAATAGTGAGCAATATTGTTTATCGGTAAGTAAGGTTCATGTACATGTACCGGTATACTACAAATTCTTCAATTTTAGATATTGATAGGTTTGTTATAAGGACTTGCTACATATGTATGTAGGGGTAAAACTTTATATTAGTTGCCCTTTATTCTTTCTTGCGAGTATCTGAAATTAGCAAAGAGTTTTAATTCAGGTTGTCTCTAAGCAAGTTTGAACAAAAATCTATCCCAATTTCATTTTTTTTTTTCAATTATAAGAAGTAGAGAGTAGATTGTGATCGGTAAACAGGAGCAGATGGCAGACAAGACCATCGCCTCTTAGTCCAAGACAAACACAGGGGCTTCCTCCAAGGTTCTCCCTGGCCCAGCCAACCCCCCTGCTCCCTCTCTTCGCCTCTTCTTGCACACTGAGAGCGGAACTGTCTGTCTGCTAAACATTCACTGTCTCTCCATCCACCAACAGCTGTCTTAGAGCGTGTCTGCCCTACCCTGGAGACTCCCCCCTAACAATGATGCCAATCCCCCAAGACGAGTCAGCCGGGAGTTACCCCCTTTTTCAGAGCCAAATGAGCGAAATGAATTTGGACCTGAGGCCGGCCAAACAGTTTGTGCGGGCCTCTGTAAAACCCTTTTTTTTTGTATTTGTCTGCGGTCCGGGCTGACAAGAGATTTTCTGGTCAGTCAGTCCCCGACAACAAGGGAATTGAGACGATTACAGGCAGTAATTATTGCCTTGATGGGGGGCTGAATGGTGTCCTCTTTGATGGGGATAGGGGGATTCATTTCAGGCTTGTTATTTTAGTCGTTTGTCTAAGATGATTGGCAGTTTAGAGTGACAGCCGTGATCACAAAAGCTCCATTTGTATTCAGTGAATGTACATGTACATGTACATGTACATGTACATGCACGTCTCTCAATAAAGAAACATCATTTTCGGGCTGTTATTTGAGTGTACAGACGAAACATTTCATGAAGGTGTAAGTGGTAAAACTTACCAAACTAATTCGTCAGATGCCTAATAAATCCATTAAGTCAAAATATAAATTTGGTGTCTTTTTTTTTTTTAGAGAGAGAAACACTCAAAACACTCAAATAAAAGCAGACATTATCCTTGTCTCTTGATTTTGTTTTCTTCGTCGACACTTCAGGTGTGTGGGGTTTGCTCAGTAAAGCAACTTTTAGTATTTGCACTTTTCCCACTCTACCTGGTTTGTTTTGTTTAATAATAATAATAATAATAATTATTATTTCCCCACTCTGTCAACTAAAGACAAAACTGACAGCTGCTGGTAAGTGTATTTTATCATCTCAAAATCTTTACATTTCATACATTAAAATGGTAATTTATAACAACAAAAAATGGTAATTTATAACAAAAAAAGAAGAAAATGGAACATACCTTAGGTCTTCCAGAAGCATGTCCTTATTCTCAGGAAGTGATACGAAAGATGGTGGTGTCATCATCATTGAGGTAAAGGAAGGATGGAGGCTGGGGTTGGGAATGGCAACCGAGGTTGGAAGCATGGTAGGCATCATGTGCTCAGGTTTCATCTCATTCGGCTGACTGGTGCGGGGCAAGGACTCGTCCTTACCCCGACTACGCTTTGGGACGACCAATGACATAGCTTCAGTCTGCTCACGTGACTCGGACTGATGCGCAGGCACTTGACTGTGTTGGTTCTGTGAGGGGTAAGATCGCCTGCCAGGCATAGGCACAACAAGTGTAGCATTCCGTGCAGCTTCTTCTAGTACTGAGTTGGACAATTGAGGAGCTGAGCTCTTTTGAAGGCTGGAGCGAGGTTTGGTGTTGTTGTTGTTGTTGTTGGCCACCCGATGCTCTTCGACCTCAGTGAACCGATCAATCACTGTGTCCACCGTGGTGGACATGGCATTGGTCAATTGCTGTTTGAGAGAGTTGCGCAGTTTCTGGTGACTCTCTCTAGGGATGGCTCCATTTGGGCCTCTCCGATGGACAGACTGACCTCCCTTTCTGGCTTGGGCCATTTCACACTTGCGGATGGCGGTCACGGTATCAATCGGTTCGTTCAAATCATCCAGATCATCGGATGCATCCGATAGGCTGCTGTTGTCCTCTTCGTAGAGATCGAAGTACTTTTCCTGCAGGACGTCTAGCTGCTGCTGCAGATGGCCCAGCAAGTACTTCAGCCGTCTACGTTCCTGCCGTCGTATTTGCTTAGCCACGCTGATCTCCTCCTCAGACGCCTTCTGCTGTTGAGGTTGGGCTTGTTTGCGTTTAGGCCTTGGGACCTCAGACATGAGATGACTTCCCTGGCTGGATTGGGGGCAAGATGGCGATTGGCGCATTGATGTGATGATGTTTTCAACTCTTGCTCTCTTAGCCTTAACACTGTCTTCCTTCAAGGGCTCGGGGCTGACCTCTCCGTCTGGACACATGTTGTCCGAGCTCATGTTCCCTGGGCTCATACTACCCGTGCTCATGTTGCTATCCCCGTTACACTTGACCCGCTTAGCCGAGTAGCTATCAGGGATAGCCGATGCATCATTGGCACTACCGTCCATTGTCTCAAGTTCGTCTGATGACAATTCTGTCCCTTCATTCTCTGAAGTCTCATCATTCCTCTCCATTGCAGCATCAAATTCTTCAAGCTCTTTCGCCTTGGCTTTCAGCAGCTGGGACATGATCAGTGGCGGCTCGTTGGCGTTCTCACTGGGCGGTGTCACCGATCCGTTCTGGACTTTCTTGCTGTTCTTCAGTAGAGTCCGCAACACGTCCGAGTTATCAGCTTCGAAACCCCCTCCGTTGGTTATGCTGACGCCGTTTTTATTGGGGTGATGGCTGTGGGTGCCTCGTGGTACACCGACGTCAACTCGTCGTCTCTTGGACGCACGAGAATTGTAGTCTTCCACCTCCGTCGACATTGGTACTGATTCGATTAAAGCCGTCACTGAAGTTTTATTCTTTCAGCTTTATTGCACTGATATTAAGTTCTGATTGGTCCAGCGATGAGACTGTTTTCATGGAATGTGCATGTACTGTTTCCTTCTAAGCCAGGAAGTTAACTCAGCAACATCTTGCTGCAATCACACACTGCGAACAGCAAAGCAGAAAAAGAAAACGATGAGTGGATGCAATATTTGGTGATTTTGCAACAAAACAGGAAACTTGAGGGGGAGTTTTACTGAGAAAACTACACAGAAGTCGCTTAGTTTGTGATGCTTTAATGAGAAGGAAAAGCCATACAAAACTTCACCCACTCAACAGAAAACAACGGTGCATGTTATGCTTTCGTGTTTTTGTTGAGAGGAAATAATGCCAATTTAAACATCAACTGGACCAGAATATGAACAATAAAGAAACTGAAATGCTAGCAAGGAATCATTTTAAATCCGAGAAATCATCCCAACATAAATAATTTCCTGTGAAGTTTTCATGAAAACTCTTGCAGGAACTGTATTAATTTGGGGTGCAAAAGTAAAAATAGTTTCATCTACAGTTACAGAAGTTCTAATACTTCGGGCAATAACGTTCACAGTAAATATACGGTAAAAATTTGATTTTACTTTCACATAGCGGTACATAAAAATATACAATATGTTTTATCTCAAGCATCTACTTGTTTTAATTTCTCATTTTGTGCAGTTGTGAGATTGGACATCAGTGAAACAATTCCAAAGAATATTTTCTGCGATTATCTTTCAAACAATTTTTAGATTAGACGTCATAACTTGGACTTTTTTTTTTAGTGCTAACATGTACTTGTTTTGTTCAATTTTGGAAAGTACAAATTTGAAGGCAAAACAACATTTGCAAACATCAAAAAACAAAACTACCAAGCATCCAGTGAAATCAGTTCACCTGCCCCCAATAGCAATCGGTTACACATCCGTGAACGGGTACAAGCCAGAAAGTCCGGTTCCCTGACCTGACAATTCCCGGACGTGTAGAAACTGGGTCAGGGAACCAGGCTACAAGAACAGCATTTATTTTCTTGATTTCTCCAGCATGTATGAACCCAAAACTTTAAACAAGTCAGCGTAACAATATTTCCTATAAACTACCAACCCCAAATTCATCAATTTCTGAAAATTACAGCAAAAGCAAATGCTGTATATTCCCTTTAATACAAAACACAAAGTGACGGTCGCTGCTCATGGACAAAGTAAAATTTCCTTTTTATAAAAAAAGGGCATGTGAGACTTGAAACTTCAATTATATAAATGAAAATATTTCTGTCCAACTTATTAAATAAGTATGACTCATCTGTGTACATATGTTGCATGAACATGTCAGTTATGTGTATACATTAAGACAAGGCAGGAAATCTACTTAAAGCTGCGTTCCCCGTGCTCTTCAAAAAATTCAATTTTTTTTCTATTAATACATTTTAAACTTGAATGTGTTATACCAACCCCCATAACCTCTCCCCCCCCCCCCCCTCTTTTAGATGTTTGCAAACCTCTGAAATTTTTTTTGTTTTTTGTTTTGGGCACAAACAGATCCCCTTTCTGAGCAGACCTGCTCCCGGTCCGTACATTATTGATACTGAATGAGGGATGGGAACCAGCCTATCCTGAAAGAACGGAATTATTTTCTGGCAGCCAATAATTCAAGATTAGTAAAGTAACAATTCAGCAACTAAACATCAGCCATTTATTTTTCCATGTCTCATTCAAAAGTGGATAAATTTGTGAAAATCAGCTATTTAGAAAAGGATTTTTTTTTAGGGGGTGGAGAAACTTTAAAAAAAGGCACAGGAAAGGCAACAAAAAACAAACAAAAAACACTTATGGCAACTGATGTAATATGTGAACAAGGGCGGATCCAGAACAGAAATTTTTTTTGGGGGGGGGGCCAAAAAAAATGTTGGTCCCCAAAAAGTGGGTCCCAAAAATTATGGCGTGGGGTTTTGGGCCCATTTAAGGGGTTTCGAACCCGCTTAAGGGCCCCGAAAAATGTGTGGATTCTAGATGTTCTGTGGTGCGATCTGAGGCAGCTTCTGACCACTTTAACCAAATCTTTTTGAGGAAAAGATGGTGGTGTACGTGGTGCCTGCCTTTATTTCGGCGTCACTTAAAGAGCAAAATTTGGTTTGTTTGGGGGGGGGGGGGCATGGCCTCTGTTGGCCCCCCTGGATCCGCCCTTGCATGTGAAAAAAAGACCTGAAGATAACAGTAGCTACATGTTACTGACCAGAAACTTTGCTCGAAAAGGCGGTAAAAACCACACTACCCAACTGTGGTAGTAATCACGGATGATTACACAGGCACAGAAGTGAACGCTCGTTAAGGCTTGCAGGACAAACATAAGCTTTTAAGGTTATCTAGAGAACAACTTTGCTGCTAAAGTTGACACAACATTTCTGAAAACGTTTCAGCCGCTCTCCATGAAACTTAGCACCAGGTTTTGCTCAAATTTTAAGGAATCTAAAACTTTCTGTTTGAAACACAAATGATACTGAAACTTCTCTTGCATTTTACAAGTTAAATTCAATTTAGTTCACACAAAAAGAAAAGACAAAAAAGAAAAAAGACTAGGATCATGACAAGATCGATTCCCTTTCTTTCTGTGTAAACAGTAAAAATAGAACATAACTGAAAATGGAAACAAATAAGGAATTGCCACGGATTGGTAACAAAAACATGTGTAGTATACTTGTATACCTCTCAGAGAAGTGTCATGGCAAAGAAAATAAACTAATGATTTCAGCGACCCCTGAATCACTTGGTTCGGTCACTTTTTTTTCAATTTCTCTAAATGTGATGCTGAGGGCCAATTGGAAAAGTTTCTCAAAAGATGCCGAACAAGTTATTGAAGGAAATGCTACCCGGTACTTGGGTTAAGATGGCGCTGAACAAAACACTTGTCTCTCCAACACGCAAGACTTGAATTAAACTTGAAATAAAAAAATGTTTGATCACTTGAAAAGATCAGTTCATGTGACCTATCGTCAGAAACCACAATACCCAATAAAATAAACCAAAATCAACCATGCATGTACGTGTACTGTATTTATGCGCACCAAAATGGTTACTCAAAAACCACTGCTTTCCAAGAAACATTCCAACACAAATGAAAATATGTAATGCCTTTGAAATGTTTCCGCACAAAAACAGTTATACAAAAAGAACTCAAATCTCCTCACAACAACCAACACCACAAAAAAAGATCTTTCAAATTCCCTTTCCGAGACACGTTACGAATTTAAGGATTTTGCAATGCTTCTTTTCAAAAACGATTCACAAAAAAAACTTAAAATGAAACCTTCCTCATATTTATAAAGTACACAATATATTCAGGTAACACAATTTCGAAGCACAATAGTTGTACATGTAACTACGGTACTTGCGTAAAATTACGATCAACAAATTCGTTCAACAAGTATGGAAGAAAACAAAATGAAATCGCAGTAGTGAAGATAGCTACATTTGTACCTGTTGAGGTAAAGCCTATCCATAGCTACATGCAGCTGCATAGCTGTGGAAGTTACACTACAGCATGCAGATTTATACAGGGTGTACTACTACTTCCATGTCACTGAAATACCACAACACATAATCTTATACATGTCAACCACTTCACAGACTCACAATAGATTCTTACTGTACTGCGGCGTGCTGCTTTCTTGCCAACTCCTTCTCACGATCTCAAGTTCACCCGCCAACGCCAGCGCCCTGCCAGCACAAAGGCCGAACACTACCGATTGTTAGCCAAGTCCCGCCTCACTGAAGAAGAATACAGCACTAATCAACCCCTCCGTTTGCTGAATGACCACTCATATCAGAAAGAAATCTAAGAATCAATAAGCTTTTTTTTCCCCTAAGAGCCGGGCATTAAGATTACCACACAGGCTTTCTTTTCAGCTGCCATGCATCCGGTATGAAATGTCTTTCAGTTGGTCAAAGTCTTACCCCGCATTCCTGTTTTCAAAGTGCGTCAGTCATGAACACCAGGAAGTGGTGACCAAGTTGTACACTTCCTTTTTGTTTTCAGAAGCAGAAGGAAAAATAAGACTGGAGATTGAAGATCGACTGCCACACACCAACGAGAGAGGAACTGGGAGAAAAAAACGTCACGTGAATCCAAAGACTCAGGGTGAATCAGTCCAGCGGCGGGTAACTGGGCGGACAGGCCGTCCAAAAGAGGATATGATGATATCAATTAAAATCAAAAGGGGCAGAACGCTGAATGGGCTTTGAATAGAAAGCAAAGAGTAGATGGGCTCTCAGGCATGGCAGTCACCGTGTCTGCTTGTGTACATGTGGGCAGTGTGTACACACATGCAGAACACGGCAGTGTTTTCTTCCAATGCCAGCTGTTGTGGCCGAGTGCCACTTCTATCTCACCTTGGCAAACAAACGTGACTTGAACTTTGAGCTATTACAGACTAGCAATAAAACAACAACAGCACCTTCGGTACCCTGCACTAGCTTGAGTTGCACCAACAGATCTATACCTGGTTACTCTTCTTTCCGTGTGTGACTCCACCGATCGAGTACAGTCCACTAAATATACATATCCCGGATCTGAGAATATCAGAGGGCCCGGCTGAAGGACTTGCCATATGCTACCAATAATCAATCAAGCTTAAGAGAGCCTTACCGTATAAAACGAGAGCCTGGTGGTGGTACATCGACCAGCGATATCGATGACGCCACACCTTACCAAACAAACGGCCATCGATATTAAATCATACCACAATAAATGAACCACTGTGCAAGAGATGAAGTTATACGGTGCATGTCTCACCGAAATGTAATATCTTTAAATTGAGATGACATTGAAAAGAAAAATGAAAGAAAAGAACCAGGCGTGGTTTACTATAGACACCATTGTATCAGCGTGACTGTACCCTTTACACATGCGTAGTCGATGTCTCTATATTCGACAAACCCGACAAACCCGGCCCCTGCTTTCATTTACTTCCTTTCTATTGGCCGAGGCAATTGCTCCACTTCAAGGAATGCTGAGCAGGAATAAGGAAGAGTGTGATGTCACAATAGCCAAGCACCACAAAGGAAACCCAGCGACCTTGAAACGGCAGCCTGTTTACCTGCAAAAGCGCCCCGAGCTAAACAAAGGCCTTTCTA